GTCATTTAACCATGGCCAGACGAGCTGTGCAGAGTTACAATGTGCTCTATCACCGGAGAGCAACATCACGTGTATACCCGCCTCTTCCTCCTCTGGTTCCCACAAAGCAAGCAGGGGACATGTGAGGCAGGTCTTCCCTCCTCCTTCCCTCCTCATCCTCTGCAGCCTAACCTTGCGTAAATGGACCAATGTGTTTGTGTGCTGTTTTATGAGATCACATATTCTCATCTCCTCTGAACACTGCCATTCTTTGTCTCCACTCGTGTTATACTTTGAAGTTCTACATTCCTCTCCCACTGCATCATCGGGGCAGCACAGCTGCACAAGGCCAGGTCTTTACAGAGCCGAAAAGAGCAGCGCTCCGGGTAAGGTGAGGCAAGAAATGCCTGCCTTGTAAGCAATTGATGGAAAGAAAGATGGAAAAAGAGGTATGGGAGGAAGTGTGAGAGAGGGAAAGGAGACGGGGTTGAACAGAGGAAAAACTGGAACAGGAGGCTGAGAAAAAGCATGAGGTCAGGGGGAGTTGTTCATTCACGTGAGGATATCTATATGTCTACAACAATGGTTGCAGCTCTCCATTTTCAGTAGCTTGTGTGCATTTGTTTGTTTGTGTGGCTTTATATGTCTTTACGTGTGTGTGGCAGTGATCATATTTTCATCCACCCAGAAAAAAAAACACCAGCTGACCACAAGATTCCCAGCGACGACCATCTCTAGACCCAGCCACACTCCACCCTGACCCTGCAGGCTCCAACCACAAACCCCAAGACCATGATGACACTATGAAACCAACCTCTAATCCCTCAGACCCGCCTTACTACATACACACACGCACACACACAGACACACGCACGCACACATGCACGCACGCACACACGCACACACACACACACACAAACACACACACACACATTATGTATCCCATGACCTTAAGGTTACCCTCTATACCAACGTACTGCACTACAGACACACAGTGAATTAATTCTGTGTGGAAAAAGGGAACCGTGACAATCAGTGATGTGCACGGACAACACGATTCCTAGTGTTTTTCCACTATCCAAGGGTTTTAATGATCATTATTGCTTCATTTAGAGTAACCAGAGTCCTATCCTCTATTTGTGCTCCAGCGTCTCTGTCCTTAACCCTGCAGATTCAAGCAACTCTTGCCTAAAGTCTGAAACTCCTTTTCATATCACAGTTTTAAGACATCATTCGGCCTACTCCTAATTTTTCTCCTCTTGTTTCACAGTAAAATGCAAATCTCAAAGATCCGTAAAGCCCACTGACAGCTCACTCCCACGCTCAAGTATAACAATGAGCTAACCCTGGCCTACACCACCTGTGTTAAGACATGATTTTCAATATGGAGGATTTTGTTTCAGTCCCGCAGTTTTCTGTGCGTTCATAACATCTTACATATATTCTCAAGCAGGAAACCTTGTGGTTGAAATGTCTTTCTCAGGGAACCTCTGTACAGAGGGAATAACCACCTTCAGTAGTGCTATATTTTACATCATGATGGCGAATGTAGCGTTGTGCATGTCATATAAAAAAACAGCTTTTGGAATAAATTTAAATCCTTCAACATAAACTCCTCCGGTCCAGTCCTGCCTTCAGTGACCCACATATGCACCGGTTCACCCCTATGGGCAGCAGAACAGTATGACTAATTCTGGCCATGGATCTCTCCCTGCTGAGAGGCTGTCATGGAAGTGATTTGGCTCAGTGATGTCTCTCCTGGCTGGGCTAAAGACAGTCTGAAAGCCCCCACCAGGACTTGGTGGTCTCTCCTGGTTCTCTCTTTCAGTGCTGGGGGAGATCAGGCATCACTTCAAGAATTCAACTACGACACAAGTGTAAGTGTTGACAAAAGTACAGATCATTCGAGTTTATACATACTCACACAATCACAATGTATCCTGCTCCTCTCAAAGCTGACATGCAAGGAATCTGAGTTGGAGGCAGGATTTAAAGGGTATATGTGGGTTTTATGCACATGTGTGTGTGTGTGTGTAACTATGTGTTCATGTGAGGACAATCCAATCCCCATCTGGTTTCTGTACTGGCTTGTCATCTCTCATACCATATGAGCTACAAGAAGGACCCCAAGCTCGACACCACAGCGACAACCGAGCCCCTACACTCCTGCTCCGACTGGGCCAGGCACATGCAATAATAATAATGCAGTCTGGTCCATGTAAAACAAATAGCTTGCTTTTATCAACGTGAGCCCATGTAGTCACCACAACGCTCGCCACATGTCTCAAGAGGACCAATGTTTCTTTCATGGAATAACAAGTATGAAACCTGACAGTACAACTTCTTATCTTGGAAACACATGTTCATGTTGCACGTTTTGCACTTTTGAGTGAGTCTAGAGCCAAACCTCTAAACATGAAACCAGTGAACGAACAAAAAAAAAAAAAGAAAAAGTCTCCTCTTCTACTTTAATGACCAGCATCGGAAAAATCTGTGACATCACGAGCGCACGCTGCTCTTGGGTCATTCACTTAGGCAGCCCTTCTCAAGCCATATGTATTTACCTTGTGGTGTGTCTGTGTGTGTGTGAGTGTTTACATATGTGTATACAAATGTATACACTGGGAAGAAAGACATGGGAGACAAGTGAGAGGAAGCGAGAGAGCGAGAGCGACAGAGAGTGCAAGGAGAAAGAGGGGAAGGGAGGGCGAGTAAAAGTATTTCCCCGGGCTCTGAAAGCACAATGCACACAGACAGTGGTGTGATTTCACTGTAGCCAGATCACTGCTTGGCGAAATGTGGTTCTGTTTAGAGGAGAGAGGGAGGGACTGCTGGGAGAGAAAGGGAGGAAAGAGAGAGAGAGAGGAGGAGGACGCACACACACAAATGAGCCTGAAACCCCTTAAGGGTCTTATTCTTTGTTCCCATCTATCCCAGTCTTTCATGGTGTCAGTGTGAGACTGCTTGATTCTGCTGCATGTTGAAGGCTGGACCCACAGCGTGCCGCTTGTTCCCCATTGGAATGAAGTGCCCTGTTCAAGAGAGGGGGTACGAACGTGCAGTTGGTTGTGTTTGATGTGTGTGTGTGTGGAAGTGTCCGTTTCCAAGGTAGAATGTAATACAACTAAATTCTGATTTCATGGGAATTTCCCTGGTTAGTTTCACTCTTACTTAAATCATGTGGTAGCAACAAAGCTGAACACACATTTATCAGTGACCACAACATGGGAATGTTCATGTTTTCAAGTAAAATTTAAAGACATCCCCTAATGATTAAAAGTGGTTTTACGTCATCTCCGGAAATCCTGATCCCCCACATTCAGTTTCGTAAATTTAGATCATGCCAAGTCCAGCGGAGACAAAAAGCATTGTGCACATGGTTGTAATTACCCAACTTTTTTAATCTTTCTCTTGAAAACTGGCCGAAGACATCACAACAAAACATCTCAGTCCTTTTAAGGTTCATCCGAGGATGCCAGGGAAGATATATAAGAGAATTTCCAGGTAGCCTTTAAGTCTACATCATGCCCTATTGTGTAAAAAAAAGTATTTATGACCCTTAGGAAACCTTTGTGTGTTTGTGTGAACAGACAGAGGAGACAATTCAAGAGTCCCTGTCCCTGGTAAACACTGACTCTGCTTGTTGTCCCCCAAAGAGGTTTCAAGTGACTAACAAGTCTCCACTCCGATAAACAGTGGTTCTTCAAGGGTCCTTTGAGGGCTAAATTGTCCTCATCACTGACTGAAGAACCATTTGAACATTGAGAAGTTTCTTTACCTCTACTGGCAGAACCATTAGTGGTACCATGTAACATCTGGTGGTTCTTTGTGGAATCAAATCGTGTTTTTTAAAGAGGTTTTAGCATTCGCTTTGATAGCACTACTATCAAAGCCACTACTACCCCTACTAACCTTTGAAGCAAATTAACCAAAGTATATTAAGTTCATGATTCAAAAGACGATCATGGGATGTCCTGTCCGACCACGACCCAAGAGTTTATTGATGTCTGAATGGACACACTCGTAGGCGCAGATGGTTGGGGTAAATGTGACACTGAATATGCTAGAACAATCCGGTTGTTGTTGTGGTCTGATTAAGTTTAGAAATGAAGCTGCATTACTTTTGTAACAGTAACAATACATTTGAACTGAGAACAAGCATGTTGCTTTTCTCATTTTGTTCAAGCCAAAGAGAATTTCCTCTGTAGAGGTACGCTGACACCATTTCTGTCGAGAGTGGTGAAATCAGCTCAGTAGGTAGCAACATCTGAGATGTGCTCAGCTGTCCTCACCAATATACCACCCAGATGGCCTCTCTCTCTCGATGTTAACTTCCTATCAGCACTTGTGGCAACAAAGCACAAGGATGTGTCAATCACAAGCACCAGTGGGCTGAAGTAGTAAATAGAAGGACTACTTGAACAGCAAGCGTAAATTTAACACATTGTGACAGAGTAACACGCTCTTTATGCTTTGCTGCTAACTTCGTTTATTCGTAAATTGACTGCATTCATATGTAAGCAGCGTGCTGAGCTACATGACAGGCTGTGACATTAGATTTAGCACTTGAACTATGGCAACTCATCACAGTGGATTTAAAAAATGTTTTCATCTCTGCTCCAGCTCTAATCGTGTCATTAGTTTTCCTATTGATTTGCCATTGTTGGCCACAGCCTGATGTTAATGCAAATGCTGCTTAGCAATCATCAAAGATCATTTACTTTTGGTGAGACTCTTATCTCATCACTCAGGTAGCCTGAGGGGGTGTTTTTTTTTTTTTTCGTGCAGGGTGATGATAGTGGAGCCATGTTAGCCACAGTATGAAGGTTTAGCTGCTTGGCCCCTGTTATAACAACTCTAGGAGTCTTGAGGAATGTGGGTTTGTCGTGCAGTCCGTTACTACCCCCTCTCTCTCTCTCTCTCTTTCCTTGTCTCTGCTTCTCTCTGTGTCCCCTCCCCTCTCCCAAACAGGGCAATTCCCTAACTTTTCTCTTTTTCTCACAAGGCTACAGTTAAATATTCCATCCTGGAGCACATATCCTGTCTCAAATTCCGACTCTGGACTCCTTGACGCCAAGGCACTCCGAATTGTTGCAAGGTATTGTGTGCATTAGTGATCTCTGACAACAGTACAATCAAGTCATCAATAGCTTTGATGGTGACTATTGTTTGAAAAGCCCGTTGTTTCACGGGGCATTATCTCTTAATGCATGTCTGTTCAGTAGATAGAGTTAAAGTTGCAAGTTTGAGTTGCAGTAAGGTGGATGATAAATTTAACAATTGTTCCTAAGTGGGTGAAGCGCGGAAGTTGCATATTTTGTTTGACCGGCTTTTTTTTTTTTTCTTGGGAAACTGCATGGAAAAAAAACGACAGGCTAGTCACGTTTTACAGTTTGATCGCTCGCCTTGTTGGAGCTCTCATAGTTTGGGAGAAACTTTCCTGGCGAATAAAGTGGAAAAAAAAACAACACACACTAACCTATTTTCCCATCTGGGATTAACTTGTGTTTCAGCGTGCAGGAGCTGATGTTGCGTTTTTTTTTTTCTCCATTCATAAAGTTGCGGTGACACGCAGAGCTCGTTTCAGTGCTGCAATATTGTGGAAAAAACCGTATTTGTCCTTCTGTCAGCTTATATTAGACACCCTGCTTAATGAGAGGCGTTAGATTTTTCAGCAGATGAAACTTGATATGCTTCATGGACTTGAAGTGTGTGTGTGTGTGTGTGTGTGTGTATGTGTATGTGTGTGTGTATGGATCTCAATAGTGAATCTACAGTAAACTTATTTCACTGTATGCCTTTGCATCTGACATTCATATTCCTCCACTAATGTAAAGTTGTGCTTTCATATGTTTTACTGTGCGATTACAACAAATGTATTGTCCTGAGTGTTTAGATGAGTGAACGCTAATGCAGGATGGATGCTTTCCTGCTTTATTTTGACAGCACAGTTTGGAGTAGTCCTCAGCAGAGCTCCTACTCGGTAATTGATCAGGCATTTCTTTTGTTCAACATTGATCCCGCCTCCATCCTCTTCTCTTATTGCAAGCAGCTACAACCACAGCTATTTTTTTTTCGTGTTTGAATGGGAAAATGTTTTTTTTTTTTTTTTTATCATTTGGTTTTCAAGAAAAAAATGTGCATCGGGTGATACAATAGATATCTGATAAATTAGGGTCATCACAGAGTAGTTGTTCCAGACATAAATTTTAACAGTTATTTGTGTTGGCATTAAGAATAGGAAACTATTAAATAATTATGGCCAATTCTTTTCACATTAGCATTTCTTTAACACCTTGCCAACCAACTTTTTTTTCTTTGTTTTGTTCCCTTCTTCTCTGCATGCTGGAGTGAGTTCACGGCTCATCTATCTCTCATCTTCCATTAAAATTTATCTGAGTCAGAGGGATTTGGAGCCATATTTCTTTTCTTTCCCTTTTCTTTGTCCAGCCCAGATATATAATGTGGTTGGACCCATGGCTTCAGGGCTGGAGACTGGGTCTGCTGAGGTTGTATATCACCAGGGGCCCTCAGTTCACTCTTAAACCTGTGGTCTATAATGAGGTGGAGAAGAGAAAATAAACCTCATGGCTGTCCAATCCAGTCGGACACTGGATGTTTTTCGATTTAATATACCCTAATGCACTTAGGATGGGCTGGTAAGACTATATATGCTATGTATGGGGCTAGAAAATCTGAAATAATTTGATTCAGAAATTCAGATTCTACAAGAAATGATAATGGGCGTAATTTAATTTTGCGACTTCATGTGGACGAGTAATCGGCCTTTGTTAATAGTTAAATGTCCCCACTCTTCTTTCTGACTGTGAAAAGTGCAATGGAGAGAGTCTTTTGAGGTAATTGATCATCTTCATGTGACCATTTAAATCTTACTTAACTCCTACGCCTGTCCTTTCGACCAACCTCCCTCCACTGTCTCTCTGGCTCCCTCTAGGCACATGGCTATGATTTAGGGCAGTGGTTCCCAACTTTTACTGTAAATCAAAGCTCATGACTCATGACCCCTTGTAACAGTTTGCATATATGGCATAATATGAGTCATGTTCCCCTTTTTTTATGTAAATAGTTTTTAGAGCCCTACGGAGGCATACATATGCAGTATTTCACAATAAAAACTAAAGTTGGGAGAGAGGTCAGAAGAAATAAAGATAATGTGTGCATCTCATTACCCCTCAGATTTATATGGCTGCCTTTTCAGGGGTCTTGACCCCCAGTTTTGGAACCATTGACGAAGGAAAATACTGCAGCATGATGGATGCACTGATGGATGGAGGCTTGAAAATGAAATGCACCGCCATGATGCTTAAAACATTGCACGTGTTGCAGTATATAAGCAGAGAGGCTTGTTTGCAGTGCAGTACCTCACAGCGCAAAAAAAATCTCATTAAGACATGTTTCAATTAAAATAAAATTCTTTTCATTTTTTAAAAATTTAATATTCAACAGTTCTGGATATTGGACGTTAAGCATGTCTCTCTAATCAGTTTATGACTTCTCTCTCTGCAGTTAGTACATAACAGTATTTGGTGTCCGTGGAGTGATAAACCACTTATGAGGCTGCTTAGAAATGCAGTAGTGAAAACAGATTGTTGGAAGTCAGGACTGAAGTGTCTCTATTTTCTGGCATGTTTTTCTTTATTCACCTCCAACTCATGTGTTTTCTCTTATCTCAATATAACCACTAAAGGTATGATGTCCTTTTTACAAGATTTTTTAAGATTGGAAAATGTGTGAGGGTGATTTCAGCTGTATCACGAGGATAAAATTGATTCGATCCGTTAGATCATTGATTTCCAAACAGATGTACTTGTGCCCGTGGGGTACTTCAGTAGGTGCCAGGAGGTATGTGGAAAACTTAATCTACTTAACTAGTAAATTCATAGTCTCCAGTAAGCTGCCCATCAACCTGAGTCAGTTAACCCATGACACTTGAGATTGCTTAAAAACCAGTTAACAAAAAGGCAGAGAAGTTTAAATTGTTAGCGAAAAGTAACGGATAAATGTTTGAAACATTCAGCTTCTGCCACTCGTGCAAACTTGACTAAAGCAACCAAAAGACTGCTGAATGAAAAACAGCAAAAGGAGCCGCTTTTATATAATTAATGGCGTCAAATAATAGCCAATTTATAATCCATTTCCATGGACTCATTTGTGGATATTGGATCCCATCTCTCGGGGCTGTGGGGAAACATCTGACAAAAAAGTTTTGTTGTTTCATGTGTCCCCTTTCTTCTTCTGTCCAGCCCCTACTCTGGAGTGCACACCAGGACTGGATCCAGGTCTAGATCCCTCTACTCAGCCTGGGTCCACACATTCAACAGAGAAATCAGAGAGTGAGCAGTAACACGGAGGTGCTGCGGTTGGAGGGATAGCCAGACGGGCCAATGGGATCAGGGAAGCTGGCTCAGGTGCTGCTGGGATGGGCGGCGGTGTGTCTTGCGGCGGTCCATGTGGCATGTGGTCAAACTGGGAATGGGCCGTACCAAGCTAGCCGCTTCACCGGCACTGTGGACCAGAGAGAGGTGCAGCGGGTTCGACGCCGTGGCCAGGAAACACTGAGAGGGTAGGGATGAGAGACTATGTGTGTGTCACTGTGAAAACCCAAATGAGCAGCAATGCGTAACACAGTTTGGTATTGATTTTGTTCATATTACACTGTAGACGCATTCGTAAGAAGAGTGCTGAAATGAAGAGAAGAGAATCGAGTTTGGTTTTGCATACGCAACTCAAAACATTTGTTGCTCTATCTGGAGAAGGTTTAAAATATAAACGACTTTCCCCTCTCTGCTTTCCTGGCAGCTCTCCTTCAACTGCTGTGCTTCCTGGGCTGAGGCCAAGCTCGCCTTATACCAAATTATGCTGCTGAATACTACCACATTGTTTTCTCAAAAACAGCACATGTTCAACCATAACAGGCTGCTTGCCTCACTGAAATCTCCCAGTGTATTTACAGCAAATTGACATTTTCATGGGAAGAGAGGAAAAGGCAGCTTTCTATACATCTCATGAGGAGATGATGAGAGAAAAGCATGACCCAAATTCCCCTGGCTGTATTAGTTAAGCTGGAGAAAGTAGTTCAGGTCTTGCTGTGGGGGATATTGCTGGCCCCTGTTTTAAGTTAAGACAAGCGATGGGGAGAATGGAGTGTGTGGGTACATATGACCATACATGTATGCATGTGTATGTTTTTAAAGGTGTTGTTTATTTGAATGTCTGTATGTGGGGGGTATCTAGTGAAATTAACTACAGGGATCACATCACCTCTCACCAGCTGCAAGCATGAACACCCCCCCCACCCCGTCCCTTCTCTCTCCTGCAGTCCAACTCTTCCACTTTGTTACCTAAACAGCATGAATCTGGGTGTGGGATGTATGTCAGTGTAGCAAAGAGTTTTCACTGTATATTTCGCCACTTCTCCGAAAACAAAGGATGTTTTGTTGGGGCCCGTTTTCAGTGTCTGCATCAGTTATTCCAATCATACTCCCATCTGTCCCAGCTTATGGTTCCCCCAGTGCCAAGCCACAGGAAATGAGGTATTCGTATCACCCGAGGGGGGTATGAAAAGGGGCATTTGTTTCACTGCTGTAGGTGACAAAAGCAGCAGAAGGAATAACAGATGACAGGAAAAATATGGAAGAAAGGAGAGCACATGAGGAAATGAGGGATGAGATGAAGAAGAAATTGAGAGCGATAGTGACGGAGATGGACAGAACTAATGAAAGTGGGTGAATTGTATTCAGTTGAGGCTTATTAATAACGCATGGTAAGGCACACATAGAGTCTAGAACTGGTGTTTTCTCTGAAAACATGTTCGGCCAGGGTTCCTACTGCGTAATAGAAATAGATTTGTCTGCCTTTAGTTTGGTCAATATGGAAAGCATTTATCCATGTTACATAAAGAAAGCTGTCCTCCCTCTGCATTTACAATGTTTTATGGAAAAGACTGCATGAACATGGCCTTCAACGCTTCTACTGTAATGTCCATTGTACTGTTTACAGCCACCATTATCCTGTTGGACACATCAAGTGTTCGCTGGTACCACAAATTAAGCGATTGGCATTGAACTGAAGACATTAAATATATGTTACTGACTGAGCAATAATTCACATTCACAGTTTGACTAACAGACAGTGTGCAGCCACAGGAGAGAGAAACCAGGAGACCTTGCACAAAAGCGTATTATTCTCATCAAATAGTGTGTGGTTTCATGAGAACAAGTAACAAAAGCCTGCAGACTTTTTCCATTACATTGTTAAGCTGGAAACACTACTGTGTTAGGGGTGAAATGGTAGTTTTGTGTACTGAAGCAAATAGGTGATGAGAGTGCACAGCATCATCCGGGTATGGTAAGGCTAAAAAGCTCTGTTTGCACGCTGGGCTTCTGACCAATATGAGTACCACAAACTGGAGTTATTTGACAAAATGTTCAACATCTTTTTGATTATTTTCAATGGATTTCTGGGTGTTGCCTAGTAACTGTCACTTGAATTATTCCGAAACTTTTAAAGTGCCTCCCATGTGCCGGCACAAGCTGGCCAAAGCAAATAGGCCTAATGTGTTGGATTTATTTTCAGTTACTGTTTGAGTGACATTGGCTGAAAACGATCACAGTTCATCTGAAATTGGGTAAAATTAGTCATCTACATCCAACCACCTCTGGATAGAAGCCTTAGGGTGAAGAAATCTCATTTCTGATGAGTAAGTGAGTGTTTTGGCTGTTGATAAACCTTTGTGTAGTGTGGGCCAAATGTTTTTACACAGGAGTCGACAGATTTTACTACAACTCATTCATCCCAACAAACTATAATACGTGCAAACCCATGCTTGGGCCTTACCATAATCTTCATCTCAGTCGAGTCGAGTTGCACCAATCATGGGTTTCACATATTCCCTGTGTGGGAGATGGAGGGAGGTTAGTTTAATGATGGTCATTACACTGGCCTTGGGCTGGGGTGTAGTGTTTATTTGCTGGCTAGAGCTCCATATCCCCTGGTCTGTCTCTCATGGTGCCGGGTCTTATGCTGACTGACTCTGATTTATTGGCTCCTACAGCACACTGCAGCCTGGCATCAGTCCACTCAAGGGCGGCATCTGATCAGACCATAGCCTGGCTGGCTGGCTGGCCAGCTGCCTGCTCTGCTTTACTTGATGGGTGATTGACTGTCTGGTTGGTAGAACCAGAGAAGGAAAGTGTGAGGCAGAGACGGAGCATTTTTGCTTTTGATTTCTCTCACTTTTTTTCTAATGTTTCTAAGAGTCGAATATTTATAGTTTAATAAGATCTCTTATTTGTTAGAGTTGAAAGAATCCAGCCAAGTACTTCTTTTTGCAGCCACCCGCCTTATTAACTTAGCCCGGCTTTGCCCAGCTCTGCTGAGGAGAGACGCTTTGGATGCTGGCTAACTTGGCAGACAGTCAGCCCCAAAGCAGAGAATTAGATTTAGTCACTCATGTCCCTTCCAGAATAATATCAATACCACACTGATGGTCTGGATAGGGTCCTCTATTTACAGTCCGCCTTGGCATGTGTTTAATTTGAAAAGGAATAAAAGCATTTCACTGTTTAGGACATTGGACAAACTTCTTCTATCTGAGTGTTTTGAGGACAAAGGAAAGTAAAAAAAAAAAAGACCTAAGAAAAAAAAAAAAAACTTGAGAAGAATTTATATTTGGGATGAGTGAACAATTGCCAGCTTCCCTTTCTGTTTTATGTGCATTAAGTTCCATTTTAGGTTTTTATGTGTCTGAATTTTATGATTACTGTATATGTGCAGGCTAAGACTGAGCTGTAAAGACGGGATTATCTTGGACCACTGACTGGCATGTGGTCTGTGAATAAAGTGGTTTCTACTTAATGTCAGAGTCTATGAAAAAGATTTAGTCATCAGTTTTACTTCCCACATCTGACATTGCTGCACACATTGACATATACATAATCAAACAAACATAATATGCATGCCACATAAAGGCATTACACAAGCTTATTTATGTGTGTGATTTACAGTTATTTCTATAGTTGATCACAAACAACATTAGCTTTGCCACAAATCATCTGAGTTATGAAAGATCTTGGGTGATGACATACATTTTTATGGAAAACAGCAATATTCAAATGTCCCCTCTGGGATTCGCATGGTAGACCACAGTTTAAGTTTAATTGTGATAGAGAGCTTTATCTCTGGAGACCTGTAGCTTGAGGTTAGTGAGGTAACTTCAGGTTTAACTAAATCCTATGACGGTGGGTTACTTCTTACTGAGGTAATTCACCATGGTAACTTACACTGAACTCCTAATCTGCTCTGGAGAAACTTCAGAGGATCAGAGCAAAACCTGTCAACAGCCCAATACTGACCAATCAGATAACTGGAAAAACTGAGTCATCATCCCTACAGGATCCCAATGGGAAAAAAAGAGTTCACAATTAAGTGATAAATAATAACAAGCAGTAGACATTTTCAGTCTAATCATCTTGCTGTTCCAGACCTTGCATGTGTCCATTCTGGTTTTAAAACAGAGCTTCTAATAAATGCATGGAGAGTTTATCACACTAAATAAAGTAAGAAGTAAGAAACTTAGCAATAACCTATGTAATTTAGGCATGTATTTAAAGTATATCCTTAGCCTTGGAAAATATTTCTAGTGTTTCTTTCCTATTCTAGTTCCTATTCCTATACTATTTACATTTCATTCAGTTAAGTAGTAAATGTCACTATAACCGAATTTTCCAGCTTTTCATGTCATATGAAATACTTTATTCATGGTTCTGATGATGTTGCTTATAATTAACAACTCCGCCTCTTTCACATGAACGTGCTTGTAGTCAAAGAGGAAAACCTAGAGTTAACTGAGCTAAATGATAACCAGCTTTGTAGTACCGGTTATCCAGTTCGGTTAAGCCAGACGATGGAAGGTTTCCTGGGTGTGTTGAACTTGCTTCGTAGTACAGGCCTTTGTTGTCTCTCAGCCAGAGGAGTCAGCTCAACAAACACAAGCAATTCCCTTCTCTGTTACACTGCCAACAATCTTTCACTCTTTCCCCCTTTATCTCTGTATCTCAATTAAATTCAATTACACTTCTTTAAAGGAGCTACTTTTAAGTTTTTGCTATTGCTACATTGCCAACATTATTAACCCATTAACAGATGTTTACAGCATCAAACTTCATTCCTTTACTCACCAAGCAGTTCCAGCAGTCAAAAAAAAAACCCTCTTGTTTTGCTTCAAATTCTATCACTTCTTTTCTTCTACTTAAGTTAGCATGCTAACCAGTTAGCTTTGGCATGGTTGGCCCATCTCATCACTCTCTGATACTGAGTCAATAGTGTCCGGTAGGCTGCCCTGAAGAAATAACGCTGCTCAGAGGATGTATTATAACTTCTTGTCTTTTAAGACAGCTGAAGCTCTTGGCAAGACTGGTAAGTAAACAACTGTTAATACTAATGTTGGCTATGTAGCAATAACAACACTTAGCCTATACAAATAACTCCTTTAATGGCATGAGTTTAGCAGGACAACATTGCCAAGACAAGAATGTATCAACTGTTCCTCTTGTTTCTATCACTATCCGAGAAAGTGAGCACTATACTAACAGTACAGTTTTGAGATATTTTACTTGAGTGTTTCTATTTCGTGAGATGTCATACTTCAACTTCACCTCAGACTGAAATATTGCACTTTGTCCGTCACTGCATATATCTCGGTCTGACTACTATCCTCTGCTGATAAGGACTTTACAGTTAACATAAGGCAAATTCACAAAATATTTTCAACATAACTATTTCATTCCTTCCCTTCCGCTGTCCTGCCTTTTCCCCTTCTTTTTTCCACTTTCCCTTCATTTCCCCTTGTAATTTTCTGTCCTTCCTTTCTTTCGTTGCTTTCTTCAGCTCCTCTGAGCACGAAAAGCTTTCAAACTGAAGATATCACATTTTTACTCAACGGTGAAGCAAAATTTTACTTGATTTTTTTTTTTTTTTTTTTTTTTACCTCTAATGAAATTTAAAGTTAATGCAGAATTTTATTTTCTTAGTGGCACAATAGCTAATTTTGAATATCTATTCCACCACTGATTAATATCCATCTCTCTTATCACCATCTGTAGTTGGGTCATCGACTATACACTACATTCCTTTGTCATCCTCACTCCTCTATCTGATAGGAGAGCAACAGGCCCAGGTGTTGCTAGAGGCAGCAATATGTTTACGAGTTGTCCTGAGGGGGGTCAGATACCAGGCAAATGACCTTTGACCTATGACCAGTACCCTGACGCACACATACACGGACACAGACACCTGACCTGGAGTCCTGGCAACTGTGAACTTCTGGGCTGTTTCTTTATGGAAACAGACTGTCTGTAGTCATTTTCCATGCCTGCCCAGCTCTGCCTTTCCTTGTAGGTCAGTGGAGGCTCTGCTCTGAACTGCCATAACCTTTGACCCTGTGGATTCCTGCATGGGAAGAGGACCCTCAGGCTACAGCCTCGTAACAGCCTTGTTGATTTTGCATTTTCTAATTTTATAACTCAAACTCTTTGCTAAAACCCAAAGAAACCACAACCACGGAGAAAATTAGATTTGCAACTAGGAAAGGAAACGGTGAAAACATGCATTGAAAATTAGAATTTGCCAGACACCAACGTGACTGATTAATATACCTAGTTTTATGTCATCAACAGTCCAAAACCCAAAGATATTCAGTTTACCATCTTATATGATAAAGAAAAGCAGCAAATTACAGCAATCTGAAAAAGATGAAATCTGAGAGTATTTAGCATATTTACATAAAATGTTCAAGCTCTAAAATTAGTCTTAGTTAAATGAGTTTCATGAAATGACAAGATAAGTAATAGTAACAGTAAGATAAGTGGTGATTATTGTGGTTATAGAAGCCTACTCTGAAAAACTCTACAATACTGCAGCCCCTTTCGACTTTGAACTCTGACTACAGAAACCCCTTTTTTTTTTCTATTCTTCATATTTCCCCTTGGATGAGGTGGCACCCATTTTCCTTTTATTACTATTAATGGCAGTTAATGAGCGATCCACGGGCCGGGAGGCAACTTCAAAGGCCGCAACATGGCCACAGAAGAGTTAATCTCCTTTAGATTGTGCCCTGAGAACAGTAGGACATTTCAATATTGAGGAAAACCCCTGGGGCTTAAACTCCTTTTTTTATGGCTGTCTTTCATTCTGTTTTACTTCAGTCCACTGTCTAAAGCTTCGTCTCTGTGATAGGAGACCAGGCGTTGACCTGGAGGAAAGAGAGAGAGAGGGAGAGAGAGAGGAAGAATAACAAACCAGAGCACCTCAGGGTCAGACCCCTATAATCCTTCATATATTGACATCCCCCAGGTCTTTAACAGTGGAAAATCTTCAACGCTTTGTGAAGAAATAGATCAGGGAAGAAGTTTGGTTCACTGCTCATTAAGTGTTGGAATGCTGATGTCTCGCTCTGTACATTTCTGACGTTTTTTCGAAGCCCTGTTTAGTTTGTGTGTTTGCCCCAGAAATTCAACCCCCACCAAGGATCTGGCCTGTTCTTGCTTATGCTGCTCTCTCCCTCGTTTCCATATCCTCTGTTTTCCGCTCCCACTCCTCCTCCTACTTCCTCCTTTTCTCAACATAAACTTGTTTTGCTTTCCCTCCCACTGATCTCCTGTTCTTTTCCCACCGTCCCCTCTTCCCTCTTCCTAACCGCCATTTCTCTCACTCCGTTCGCACTTTCTCTCTAAAGCCAACCCTCACGTTTCAGTTTCTGGAAATGTCCCAAAGAACCCACTGCTTCTGTATTTTCTCCCCTTTCTGTTTTATTTTTATCTTTCGTTTTTTTTTGTGGCCACCAATTTTACCTACATAAATATCTCTCGTCTGCTTGCCCACCTGTTTGTCTGTCTCTCTGCCCCCCCACATGCCATCTGGTAATGTGGTTGGAGGTGTGCTCTGCTCTTCATCCATCAGAGATTCAAACCACAGCTGTCATCTCCCTGGTGACAGCCCGGGGTTACTACGGATACTGTCTGGTGAGGAGGAGACGCAGGTCATCTCTTTCACACAGGAGGAACTTGAGAAGTTCATCAGGGTTGACACTTAATTTCCCACTTTAGCACTGTTCTTCTAATCGCCCTGTTTTGAACGCATATTCAAAAACTGCTCAGTCATGTTAACTTTTACTGCTTTGGTTTCGCTGCAGCACTGAAATGATTAATCAATTAATTCAGTTAGCTAATCCATGGAAAATGTGCTGACAATGATTTTGATGATAGATTCATTGTTTAAAGGAATAGTTCTACTTTTTTAGGAAATGCTGTACTTGTAATTCCCTAGAGTCTTTGGTAGTTGCCTCGTACTTTGTCCCAAGAAATCGCCTGGCATGTTACTCTACGGAAAAAGTTTCAATTTTCGCTTTTTAACTTTGGTTTTCGCATGACTTAAACAAACAAAATATAATGTACTGATTAGTGAGCTTTAGAGGTGCTGGTAGGTGGATTATGTAACAGAACCCAGTTAGATGTGTCCCCCATTTCCAATCTTTATCGTAAGCTAAGCTACCAGCTATAGCTGCTGGTTCATACATGAGGGGTATCTTCTCATCTAACTCCCTGCAGGAAAATGAATAAGCATATTTCTATAGTACTACTGTTCCTTTAAGTCACTAAACAAGCAAAAAATATAAACCAGTGGTTGCTTCTAGCCTCTCAAATCTTCGGATTTGGCTTTCTAAAATTTATATCGTAACTTTGGCTTTTGGACTGCTGGATTGACAAAATAAGAAATGTAAAGTTTCACTGTTTTTGAAATAATTGACAAACTAAAACTGCTACAACTAATATGCAGCAAGTTGTATGACTTGAATAAAAATGACAGTTTTAGTTAGTAAAAGTACTCATGTTTCAAGAAAAATAACCAAAATTAAGATGTAAAAGCTTTCCCTTTAAGGAGCAACATTGGTTTATACATCATGGTCACTTTACTTGCCATGAGGTGTACCACTCACCCTGTGAAAACACTTGTAAAATATCTTCTGTGGCTCTAGAAGCAGCTTTGCAAAGTTTGAAAAAAAAAAAAAAAAATCCAATGTTGTCATCAGGATTAAACCTGTGCTATATGTTGGAGACACAGAGTGTGAAACAGACACTCAATCAACAGTTGAGTTGCATCATGAGAAAGATGTAGAATCCAGTGTTTGTGAAGCTTGATTCAAACTAGTGACTACAAATCAGAATATCCTCGCCTCTGCTATACCAATTTCTGACTTAAAAAAAAACAAACATTGTCACCAGCAAGTCCCTCGACTCTATGAAAGTGCAATACTAAATCCCCGGGTACCCTTTTAAAGATGTGTTAATTTGTTGTCTAATTTCACTAGCCCTTGGTCAGCGTCTGAAAACATAGGGTAATCTAGCGTTACCTTAAACAGTCATAAATTATGTCCTGGGGGCAGAAATTGTCTAGACTAAGGAGATGTGATCCCTGTGGCAAATTACTTTACCATGAGCATCTGGATCACGCTTTTTCCCAATTTACCAAGCTGTGGTCACTCAGTTCCTAGTCATGCCATCAGCAAATGCAAACAACTAACCACTATCGCAGATGACCACAGATATGCCCGTTATTATACGCTTTGAAAGGTCACTAAGGATATCATTACTACAACCACATAGTTGGAATCCCTTCAGCTTGTTAAACAGCTTTATGCAGCGACTTGGGGTATTTCTCTTTTGTGCACACAATGATTTGTGCACACTTCTTTACAGTGCGTGGATCTAGGCTTTGGGATTGATGCATGTTGGGATTTTTACTCCATTTCTAAATAAACTGAGTTATAAGTGGGTGTGTAATTATTCATGGACGATAAAAAGTGAAACTGAAGTCCACTTTGCATCAGCTTGTAAAGCAGCTGCAGACTTCAGTACCACTGCTTGTTTATGTGTGTGTTTGTGCGTGTGTGAGCCGAGTCAGTCGTCTTGAGATGTGGTTTAGCCATTTCCTCAAAGGAATACTTTGTGGCTAACCTGTCAGGCCATCAAGCACTCCATACGCCATTATGACTCTTACATATGTCAGGCAGGGTCAAAGTTCCTTGCAGACTCTCCACCAGTAGGAATCAGAGCTGACTGAGAGGGGTGGGCAGCGATGGGGAGCAGCACTGGATATTTGCCAGAGAACAGCACAGTCAGGCATGGAATTTGGGAGAAAGGACTTTATACATCCTGTCCTTCCAAGTTTAAATTCACCCTTGAATGAAAACAAAATGCTCCTCCTCATGTTGTAGGCCCCTCGCATTTCCTTTCCCTCCTGCCCTCTCTGAAAATACCTCCATCCATCACCCGAGGAGGCTTTGTATCAAAGTTTGTTATGTTTATTCTAAAAGCAGGGGCCGTGCAGGTCTTGGGCAGCACAGAAAATAACTCATAACTGTGTGTATTTGTTTAGGGGTTTTACTGAAATATGTTTGGGAGGTCTGGGTGAGTAGTGAACTTGTTTGTTCTTTCTTTTTGTCTCTGTCAGACCCAATGTGTGTGGCTCTCGCTTCCATTCATACTGCTGTCCAGGCTGGAAGACTCTGCCGGGAGGCAACCAGTGTATTGTTCGTAAGTTGCTTCATCCTTAAATCCTCGATACCACAAAGCCCAGTGGAAAAGATAACAAACAGACTTGGGATAATTCTGCTTGTATCATTATCTTGAAAAATGAATGAACCAATTAAATTCACTCCCCTCCCCTCCCCTCCCCTCCCCTTCCCCTCCCCTCTCCTCTCCTCTCCTCTCCTCTCCTCTCCTCTCCAGCAATTTGCAGGAATTCGTGTGGCGATGGCTTCTGTTCCAGACCCAACATGTGTACCTGCTCGAATGGCCAGCTCTCTCCCAGCTGTGGAGCAGGAGCAGGAGGTCAGTAGTGCCGCTCATTTCACACACATAACTTTATCTTCACCTAACATCAAACCCATCATAATGTGGCAACAAATAAACAGAATAAAGTAAGTGAATAGCTGTTTATCTGCATTCAATACATTACATCGCATTTATCTTGGACAGGATGAATCAGGAGCAGCAGTGTCTTGCTCAAGGATACTTTGACACATTTTTGGGAATCAGCATCATCGCTGTAAGAGCTGAGGCAATTAGTCAATTATTCTACTTTTACACTATTAGCAGCAACAATTTTGATAACTGAATTGTCATTCAATTAATTTTTCAAGTAAAAATTCCAAACAATCTCCAGGTTTCCGTTTTTTGTCTTATGTGATAGAAAATGATATGATGTGATATTTTCAGGTTGTGGAGAGTTGTTTAGACAAAATAAGACATTTGATGATGTTAGGTTTAACCCAAATTATGATTATACATTTATTATTATTATTATTATTATTATTATTATTTTTACTCTCTTCTGATATTTTATTGACCAAATGTTTAATCAGTTAATTCAAAAAGAATTTGGCAGATTGATTGATAATTAAAATAATCAATACTTGCAGCCCTAAACCATATGATGAAATGGATAGTTTGACATTTTGATAAAGATGCTTATTCACTTTTCTGGCAGAGAGTAAGATGTGAAGATTTAAGCCATTGCCATATCTATGAAGCCACAGCCAGCAGGAGAGTTAACTTAACCCAGCTAAGTCCAAAGATAACATGAGTCTGCCTACCAGCACTTCTAAATGGCTGGTTACCTGGCAACTGCTCCCAGCCAAAAAATAGTGCAGCACACAAACCCGCACACAAAGTGGTGGTTTTATGTATGGATTAAACAAACTGGGTGTCATGTAATGTATTAATTAGTGTGCTTTAAATGTGCTGTTAGTCAGAGTTTAATTACTTTGGACAGACCCAAGCTAGTTGTTTCTCCCTGTTTCCAGTCTTTGTGCTAAGCTAAGCTAACTAACTTCTAGCTATAGCCTTTGGCCTTTTCGGCACCTTATCTGATTCCTTACTCTACACAAGTAGTGGCAGAATAAACCAGTAGATCATTGTTGTAATGCAAAGTATTGAAACAGTGCATTCCCATTATTTTTCCAAATAGCCTCGAGCTGTACCTCACTTTACTGCGTGATCCTGCTAAGTGGCCTAAACTGCTGACCAAATGATGTTGCCTGTTACACTGAACAGTTTCAGCTCCTACTTATTCAACTGTTCTGCTATTTTCCAAAGGTAATGGTTCCACCCTTCTCTCAGGGGAGCCAGAATAGTACTGTAGCCAGTGTAATAGTAGTGTATAGAGCCCCAGGCCTGTGCTACAGCCTGCAGGTCACAGGGTTTGTCAGGATTAAAGCAAAGAGTCTGGCTGCCCCAGCTGAGTCTGCTGGGCTTAGTTACAGACCACTCAGGATGTGTGTGTGTGTGTGTGTGTGTGTGTGTGTGTGTGTGTGTTTGTGTGTGTGTGTTTGGAGTAGAGGTGTTTTACAGCACACGCAGAGTGTGTGAAATCTCATTTGTCTTAGTGAGATTAGTGAAATGTGTGCAGGGTTTAAATATGAAGGTAATATGTGCAGGACATGCCGAAAACATTTTCGTTAAGCTGCACTTTGGGACCATGCAAAGTGTGTGTCAATGTGTGTATTAAGTAGCATGCGATGTGTTCAGCTTCACTGCTTTAATAGGCCAAAGTCAGCTCGTCAGTCACGCCTAGCCCCTGCCAGACCCCTTTCACATGCTCACATTCCATTAAGCCTGCTAACACACATACTGTACGTAGACACTTACACTCTTATTAAACAAACAGAAAGAAAAAAAAATGTACATGCACACGCTCGCACACAGTGAGCATCAGTTGGCTGTGACCCAGAGGTGTAAAACGGGATCTGTTCCAGCCATAAGTAAGGACGACCCTTAGAGGAAGGGCACGGAGGGTGGGGTGGAGAAAAACAGCCTCTGACCTGTGTGGCAGGATACGCACAGATCTCCTGCAGAGTCAGTGCTTTGGCAAGAGCTATGAAGTCATGTTCCTAAGAGACAGGAACGACGTGAAAAAGTGAAGTGATAAATTGGAGCAAGAGCTTAGCAGACCTGAGCCGAACTGATTGTCACACTTTGTCATTCTCAGCTTTCCTCACCTGGGATTTATGGTGGCTTTTTTCGACAGGGTTACAGGCAGCGGAGAGGCAGGAAATGAAGCCGCTGAGATGCTGTATGATCAGTTTATTAGTAGTTTTGAATAATGCTTGAATGGCCTGTTAAGAGTGGTGTTTATCTAACCTATTTATCTAACCTAAAAGATGTATCTGTTACTTTGCTCACCATCTTATGTTTAACTGCTTCTGAACTACTCAGACTATTGTAGTGGGATGTTTCCAACTGTCTTCGCTACATTTTATATTTGGTTATAAAGCTTTGATTTGAAGTCCCACTGAGCCACACTCACTGTTTTAGGTGTGTCCAACAAATTACTTTAGCTGAAAATTGTTTTCGCAACATTATCTGTCTCTGAGGCTTTAGGCCATGCCAAGAGCAGGCAAACACCCCACATTGTAGATCTTGTCTTCCCGAATGTGCTAACTCCCAAATTCAGCTTTTGGAGAGAGTCCACCCTTTAATAGGATAATTCAGTGCAGTTGGAAATAAATTGCAGCTCTATAGAGATCCGTTTGGAAACACCAATTTCCTCTGCCTTAATTATACAGCCTGATTCTAGCACCCTGGTTCACTGGGTTATAGATAGCATCTTCATGTCTCATGTCTTGCCTGTGGAATGCAGAGGTTTAAATAAATCAGCAACAGATTTGTGGTTTTCTACATGTTATCCACATGTCTGTGATTATTGTTGTGTCCATACAGATGGTTGTATATGATTTTTTCTTTTACGACTCTTCCTGGAAGCTTTGTTGTTTTCGATTAACAATATAAGCACGTGTTCCAGTGGATAGCCTGGCACACCTTTAGAAACTGACACAAAACCGGATTTTTGAAAAGCCATGGTGGCTTAGTAACTGCATAAGTCACATTTACTGATAACGCTGGTTACGTATCGTAACCCGGTAGGAAAATTTCTGGGCTCAGTTCGAAAGAAATTCTTCACGACTGCGGAGACAAACCCAATAGCCACAGCTCTTAGAGGGCAAAGTCTATATGAAATAGATCTTATGGATACATGTCACTTTCCTGACGACAAGGGTTAGTGTTGTAAGTCACCCTTGAAAGAAACCCGCTGACAGTTTAGAGCAGAGCAGCTGTGCTGACGATCGTATAGGGTTGTCTTTATAACCTTGTCTTCCCATAACCATAATTACAAAATCATTACCACGGATGTTCTCGCCCTAATGCTGAGAAACAGCTGTCTTCAGACTGACAGGCTTCCACTGGCCATTGACTAGGAACAGTGGTGAGTGCTGGGAAAACAGGGAGGGCCTTTTTAATTAGAAGCCATGCTGCTCCACTCCATGAAAAACAAGGTGCAGGACTCTGAATTTCCTAAAATGGAAAGAAATCTTTGCATTTGGATGACAACTGACTTTGACAGCATCTTATGCAGCTTTGTTTCATTACATTGCCCATCCATGCTGAAACTGCAGCTGACTTGTCCCTGGGGTGTGTGTGTGTGTGTGTGTGTGTGTGTGTGTGTGTGTGTGTGTGTGTAAATCAGGACAAAACACAGCTATAAAGCTCCTCAGTTTTCCATCAGACACACATGCACCCATACACACACACACACACACACACACACACACACACACACACACACACACATTCAACACACAAGCCTGGACTTCCTGTGTTTCGCAGCCTCTCGTAAAAAACACCCAGATGTGAGCAGCTCACCAACGACACTACCAGAATACAGAGGTGCATTGTGGTGCTGTAAAGCAACACCCAGCTCCTTTTGCTCAGTGTCTGGAAGACACACACACACACACACACACACACACACACACACACACACACACACACATACATACACACACATACATCCCCCCATGCTGCTGCTCTGCACGTGCGGCTTTCCAGGCACAGGTCATTGGGGCAAACCATCTCCCTCCACCTGCGGGGGATGGAGTGCCACGAGGAGGGGGAGGGAGGTGCAAAGTTTGCCAATGAGATCATCTTCTTCTCTCTCCGAATGTGCTTGTTTGCTTCCTCCTCCTCCTCCTCCTCCTCCTCCTCCCATCTAGTTCCTGTTACATAAAAATCACGACATGAACTTACTCTCTCGTACACCATCAATATATCTCCATCTTTCCAGCACCTGACCCATTATCCTCTATTCCTGAGGGCAGAGAGTTCAGTGGGCAGAGAGACTCTTACTGCAATGTTTCTTTTCCAAATCAACCTTAGCCAAACTCTTTCACCATACTTCCTTGACCTATTTAGAAATACGTTTTTGTGGGGAGGGGAACTTGTTGAAAAATGGATGAGCTTACCCAAGTTGCCCTCAGCTTTGGGGGAGTCTGGGTTACAGCGCGCTGGAACACTTTTCTCCAAGGTTTGTTCCACAGCGGGGAAAACTGAAATCACTCAGTGCAATCATTATTCATGTTTCACATCACTGCTCCTTTTGTTGGCCTGAGAGAAGAAAAGCGAGTCAAAAGAGCGTACAGCGTTAACCTCATGTCTTGAACAGAGCTGAGGTTGAAACCTGAGAAGAAGACGTGACCGAGCTCCCATGAGAGCGAATGAGAAGAAGAGAAAGAGACAGCACACTAGTACACTAACCTATAAACCCAGCCTGCCCCAGAGTCCCAAACTATTTGCTTTAATTTATAACCACATGTTGCTATGAGATGCAATCCAGACAAAAAGTAGTTTCTGCCAAATCTGTACGTAGAGTCTGCCAAGTGTTGCACAAGAGAAAGTTAACTGGAACTTCTTCTAGACTTTAGATACATTAAATATGTGGAGGAATGAAAGCTTGGTTGACAGTTTCAGCGAATCACACACTCTGCCTTGCATTTACGGAAACTCCGCAGCACAGGAACCACATCCAAGATATGTGCTTTGACTCATGTAACTGAAGTCTATACTGTGTAAGCTGCCAGTAAGGCAGTGTAGGAGATCACAATGAAAATGAAAAACTACCTTAGAGTATATTCACTCACCGTGACTCACACAAGTCATATTAAGTGTGTTTGGGTACAGTCAGAATAAGTGGGTGGATTATAGTGGCTGAAATGCCTCCTGTTGGCAAGTGTGCAAACTCAGAAAGTCTCATTAGACAAACTCAGCTACGGGGAAGCTCAGCCATTTCCCCTCTGCTGCACAGCTCTGCATGCCAGAAATGATAAAGAGAGAGAGAGACATAAACAGGCAGATGGAGAGAGAGGAAATTAATGTTGAACTTGCGATTAAGTTATGGACAGAAGAGCATGAAAGGCAGAGAATAGGGAGAAGTGCAGGAAGGAAGAAAAATAAAAGCACAGGGTGAAGGACAATAAAATATCCACTTGAGCCTGGGGGAAAGTAAAAAGAGGATACAAGGAAACACTCAGAGAATACAGTCAGCTAACATCCAGCACTGTAGGTGTCTTCTTTCCTCTTGTGTACGGTAACAACCTGGCTCAGCAGACAGCTACTTGTCAGACAGGAAGTCCAATTAATTTCTCTTATGGAAGCTAGTGCTACGTGGGTTAACTTTGGACTGTCAGTTTGGCGTTCTCACACTCTGGCAAAGCAGTCTGTCAGCCAGGAAAGTCCTGCTTCATAATTAATAGCTTAGTTATAATAGCTGATACCATTGCAACACTTCTGGTCTGGTTATCCACTATTCAAAATTACACTCTTTTTCTTAGACTTTCTCCTCTGTGCATCCTGCTATGTTTGGATTACCCCCCTTACCCAGTTTCCCTCTCCTCTCAGCAAATTCCTGAATGACTGACTGACTGTAGCGTACAGCTGGCTCGACTAATTGCCTTCCCTCAGTCTGCTTGATTAGCTTTGGTTTTGTGGCCTGGGGCCTTTGAGCCTTGTCTGCTGATCTAAAGCTGACAAAGAAACACCAGTGCTGTGCAAACTCAGCTGAAGTGTAAAGAGCTTCATAATGTGTTAAAGTGACCATAGTTATTTAATGCTCAGATGTTTGGAAACAACTCTTAATGTGCCTTTTTACTGGGTAATAATTTAATAAAGAAATCTATTTAGTCACTCAGTTAATACACACTCTCATTTAAAAAAAATCTAGGTTTGGTTGATAATGACAGGTTGTACATAACAAAGCCTTTTCAATGTTCCTCTTTTTATTCATCCTTTGATAATGCTGCAGCTTGTGTTTTGATAAAACAAGGGATGTGAAGGTCTGATGTTCATCATTTCTTTCCTCCTCATTTTGTGCCCTTTCCACTCCACACCCCATCATCATTTCTCCCCTTGTCTCTTTCTTGTCTCCTACAGTTCAGTCCTGTAACGTCAGGTGTATGAATGGAGGCAGCTGCGCAGAGGACTCATGCTCCTGCCCGAAGGGCTACACAGGCAGCCACTGTGGACAGCGTGAGTTAAAGCTGCTGCAGCACCCATGGGTGTGAATGTGTGTGTTTGTGGTGTTGGTTGCACCGTGTCACCTGCTACAATGTCTGATCAGAAAGACTAAAAGTCTTACTGTAAGAGAGATGAAAGGGCGATGGAAATTCTGCAAATTGTCTGTCTTTATATTTGGATCTCAGCACTACATTAGGACTTTTTCAGACTATCCCTTTACTTTTTGAAAGTTTGGCCATGTTTTGTGGTCAAAGCAAGGTTCAAAGTGAGACATGAAGTGAAGAGAGTTGGTGTTATTGTCTAAAGGACTGATGTCATCAATGAAAATCCTCATGTGTTTTTAATACAAATATACAATGCAGCATGTGTTTATGTGTTAGTAATTCTGAGATGAAGTCATTTGAAGCTTAATGAAAGACTTCTGTGTGTGTCTGTGATAGAGAAAGAGAAAGAAAGAGACAGAGTGTGCTAAGTTTGTAAATTCCCTGTGATTCACTCTTTTTTCCCGTCTCTCCTGTAGCTGTGTGTGAGAATGGCTGCCAGAACGGTGGGCGCTGCATTGGGCCCAACAGATGTGCCTGTGTCTACGGTTTCACTGGTCCGCAGTGCGAGAGAGGTGAGAGCTCATCCTGGTTTCTACGTTGATACCGTAGTGTCTCCTGTATACTTTTGCTACTATGTATACTTCCTTTCTGCTCAGTTTGTATGGCTGTGATAGAGGCTTGCTGGTGGAGCTAGACAATCAGCCCATGTGTGAACAAACCCACAGTTTTACCACACAAAAACAAAGGCAAACATTGTAACTGTCTATTATAAATTCCCAATGTGGTCCAGAGGATATGGGTAAGGTGGAGATTTGTTTGTAATCTGCGTGACTATCAGATTGCTTGTGTGCATTGCCTGGTTTGATTCTCAGCAATCATTGTAACACAGTGAGTAATAATGGCAACACCTATGAAAATAATACATTTCAAGTAAATGAAACACTACTTCGTGTAATGTGACTAAGATAGCATTTATCCAGCTTGGAAGTCAAGCCAGCCAGGATCTGATTGGCCAAAAGATGGATGCCAAGCAGCCAGATTGGAGGGGTGGAAGACCATGTTGTGGCCCTGCTTTTCATCAATACACTCCCGACCCACGCATACACAAGTGTTAAGGAGAATATCGAAGCAGGAAGGCTTTGATGTGGCCATGCTGTTCCTATCAGTCCAGACATACTCTGTTAATTCATTACTTCTGCTCTAAGTGAGCAGGCTCTGCTAACGTGGATGACCTCATACGGTTAGCTCAGACAGACAGTGGGTGTTCTTCTCCTGAGCTTTGAACAGAAGCCTGTGGTATGTGTGTGGTGGGAAGTGACGACGGGGTGTTGGAAGTAGGTGGTACAGTCCCATGGCGAATGAAAATATGTCTGAATCGATGGTCGCTCACCTCAGTTCACCTTTTCAGAGAAGGAGAAAGCCTGTTACACCCTCAGATATTCTCTGTTACCAATCTCGCCTTTCCGTGGCCCTCACCTTCCACCTCCCCCCTCCTTCCTTCTTCCTCCCCCCTGCTGTTAGCTAAACTGAGGTAGAGGAAAGTTCTTGGCCTGTAATTTCACCCACCTCATTCATCTCAGCCTGTCTTCCGCATTCCTTTTTTTCTACCTACATAAATTGTATTTATCTATGTTTGTGTAACAGCCTCAAAAACTCAACCTGTTTTATTCGAATTCTATCCTCCCAACTCAACCCTAATCTTCCTCTCTTCAGTCTTCTCTTCTTTTCTTCTCTATAAATGTAACTTTATCTACCACTTAAAGGCACTATATGTGAAGACTTTGAAGGAATTTATATGTATTAATTACCTTATTATTACCTTATTACCTAATGTGTGAACAGATTGCAATGTAACTTAAAAAATTAGACCTTCCCAGACTTTCTCCGTTGCCTGTAACAGACTGATTTCTATGCAAATGACTCAGGACGAATTTTCCAGGAAAATCAAAAGGATGTGACATTTATGCTATGAGTCTGCTAACATCAACAAACAACAGGCTCCCAGCACAACACAGACCCTAACACAAACTCCACATAAGAACAAAAAACAAACAAAAAAAAAGCTTTATACAGTGTAGCCTCTCCAGCCAAACAGGAATGTGACTGTCACGGGGGGTTAAATATAGGGTCAGCATCGGCAGGGTATAACATTACCTCATAACACAGTTAATCAAACTATGGTCTTGCATAGCCAGACGCATCTCCACACTTTTAGTGCTGTCCCAGCACTGGAGAGTCAAATACAGTCTGTCATCTCAAATATAGTTTATAGCCAAACTGCAGTAACAGTTTTACTTTAGTTACGTTATCTATCAACATGATGGCGGTCAGTCACGTTCAGTCTCGTGTATGTTACATCGCTGTTTTGGCCGATGCCCAGGATGCTTGCTTGTGCCTACCTATGGAGTACGAGCACATGCGCTAGCATGAGCAACGAGATGCTGACTGCAGCTCACTTAACGGCCACCTGTGTCATTAATAACAAGGGCTTTCTGAGTGTTACATCTAACCTTTAATAAAATTCTGCATACGTTTTCTGTATACATTTTTAGCCTTCCTCTCATTCTCCATCCCTCATCGTATTTCTCCATGAAACTCCAGGGTCTTGTTTTCTTGGAAAATACAACATTTAGGATGTTGAGTTTGTCATAGGCAGCCTCAAAGACATCTGGCAATAAATACCCCCCTCCACCACAACCCCTCACCCCAACATCCCCACAGGACTGACAGAATAGACTTTCTTTGTGGAGTGGTCATGGACATTTCCTGATGAGGAGTGGAGCAAGGTAGGGAGGCAGAAAGAGAGAGGGAGATGGAGGGAGGAAGAAGGGAGGGATAGGGTGAAAATGAAAATGGACTCCCCAGCTGTGTACACAAAGCCTTTTGGGGGAAGTACAACCACTCTCCGTGTTGGAGGAGTGGGTAGAACGCTAGAGCTGCAGGTAGTCACAGGAGAAACACTTATAAATCTTTGTTTGTGTGTATGTTTTTTGTGCCAAATGTCCTTCACTTTGAAGAGGAGTTGGGCTCAATTTGTCAAATTCACTGTGTAATTCATAAGGAATCATATTAGTGACTTAAAAAATTATCCCAGCATTTGGATATGAAAATTGTAAGTTGGTACTCAAAATTTTGAATTGAATCAGCTACAATATATTTATTTTCACTTAACTTATTACTGCATCTTTTCGAAACAGGTCACTAAGGAAATTCAAACATTTTACTTTCAAATAGTCCACTCCACCCCACACACCCAAAACCTCAAATTTAGACACTCATTAATTTTGATAAATGACTAGTAAATTTCCTTAATATTGAGTTTGGCCCAAAACGGCTGGAGACTCCCTGGTGCAATCTGTGGTGTACTTACGCCAGTTGTATATTGTGGTTTATAGAGTTTGTGTAACCGAGGCCATGAGTCAATAGATTTACTGCGTGATTCAGTGAGAGGACTGCTGCCGAACTGCAAAGGCAGTGAAAGTCAGTCAGTATGGGTGAACTGGGTGTGCAGGATGAAGTCATGGGAAACCCCTTGCGTGTCTGGAGCGTGTGTGCATGTGCATTTATGTGTGAATAGCTTATGTGTGCCTGAGGCTTGCTGACTTTAGGTAGCGTTAGCATGAGAGTCAGAGTTAGTCATTCCTCTTTAAATCAAAAACATTAACCATCATCTCTGCCATGAGTACCCAGTCATTATTAAACAGCTATATATGTGCTTGTCACTGTTTTGTTTCAGTATGTGTGCATGCATGGATACCTACACCTATACCTTTATGTGAGTTTGTCTTTAGTCATGGTAGCAGTGTTTATAATGTTGGTCTGTCTGTTGGTTGGTCAGGCGGTTAGCTGCTTTGGTCCAGGCTGAAATATCTCACCCCCTATTGGATGGATTGCCATTTTATTTGGTGGTACAGACATTCATGTCCCTGTGAGGATGAATCCTAATGACTTTAATGACTATTTTTTCCTATTGTGTTACCATGAGTATTAATGTTTATTTTCACACGACTGCACATGCATGCAGAGGGAGCGGTGTTGAAGTGTGTTCCCAGAGCTTTGGCTTTGCTCCAGTACTACCCGGTCCAGTCCGTCTCAGTGGACCTATACAGCCTCTGTGGGCAGTTCCAATTCCAGCCTGCGGCCTAGTCCAGACCAAATAAACCGATAATCGCAGAGGAGTAATTTTGCCCCCTAGCAGGTGGTGACGTCAAGGGCATTTTGAGGTGCTGGAAATGGTGGAAGTTGTGCTATTTCTGTTCTATTGACTCTGGATAAGAATGGTCTGAACATGGCTGGAAAGGAAGGCTGCGCTGGTAGATGGGTGGGATTCGGGGGGCAGACACAGGTCACTCTGTGGAAAATATCCCCCAATGACAATTTAGTTTGAGTCAGCCAGTTCAGAGCCTTGCTAAATTTGATACAGCAAGTCTATAAATTATATACTAATGCAACATGATGTTGCCTTATAATGGAGACCCCATATCTGTATTTCCATATAAGAAACACAATGAACCCTACTGAGCGACAGAGGAGCAAATATCAACTGACAGTCATCAGAACTGGCTGAGAGTATTTTTAAACCAAGCAAGAATGTGTACATCTGGAAATGTGTTGCTCTGGACTCTGCTAATATAATGAGCCCAGTGTTTCATCCAAATACAATGTATGATTATATTTTCTGAATTAAATCATCATGATATATATTAAGTATAATTAGTAATGTCATATTTCACAAGTTGCTTTTAATGTCTGTTTTCATGGGGGCACTTTTGATGATCCATTTTATAAATAAAAAGGTGAGGAAATTACTCACCAATGCCCAGGCCAAATTTAGAGGGTCTGGTTTGTTCAAATCAGCATTGGATTAGCCTCACAGGATGGTTAGAAGGCTGCCTTTGATCTGGCCTGATGAAAAATGGGCTGATTTACTCACTGCACTCAAGAAAGCACTACAAAGACTTTCCCTTCACTGAATAAGTAACAGGTCTCATGAGTGGTAGTTGTTGATGGAGCCTGGAGCCCACTTGCCCCGACTGTGTTTTTGCCTGTCGGTGTCTGCATTCAATAGAGTCTGCATTATTGTTCCACTGCTGGACAGTATTGTGTCGGGAAGTTTCCCAAAACAGACGAAAATAGCCGTAGAAGTCAAGATAGATTTGACAGCACAATGGGTGAGACATAGAAACAATGACAGAGGAACTGCTTGATGGACAACTTAATGCCACAAGATATGACATCACAGTTTCACCAAGTATGGATATTCAGAATTAGTATATTAAAAATGCCTGATAATTATTGAAATTTTACTATTTGGTTGTTTCCTCGTAGTCATGTGTGTTCTGTGTATTCAACTTCACACACAGCAGTTAGCTTGAGGTTGCAGGTTTTCAGATCTGGGTAGATCACATAGGGCTTATCTCTCCCATTGCCATTCTCCCACAGTTATTGGCCCTCGCAAGTGCGTGTGTGTGTTTGTGCTGTGTTAAACATTTAGTCACGTTTGGCTGGCTGCTTTTGGTGTGGAAGAAATGAAAGGAACAGACTCCTTGAGGAGTGATTAGGTCGAAAGGAAAAGAGAGATTTCAAGCCTGTTGATAATGGCGCTGATATGACTAACAGAGACTGCTACGGTTGGCCAAGATGGAGATAAACCTCTCAAACACACACACACACACACACACACACACACACACACACACACACACACACACACACACACACACACACACACACACACACACAGACATGCAAACAAACAAGCCCACACATTTGAATCATTTATTTATATCCACATCAGCAGAAGGACACACGGACACAAACAAAACAATGCAATCAGAAATTCCACAAGACCCGCCAGACATGTGTTCAGTCTGCACACACCAACCACACACACACACACACACACACACACACACACACACACACACACACACACACACACACACACACACACACACACACACAGGCTTGTGTGTGCATATATTTCTTCTTTTTATTCATTTGACTTATTGACCTCTTGTCAGAGGAAAGTATGTATAAATGATAATGGCTTCATTTTCATGTAATCAACTCATATTTCAAGTTTCTTATCTTCCCAGACCTCCACGCCTCATGGGAGTTTTATAAATACTTCAGCAGTTATTAATGAATCCAAAGTGGGCTTTTTCCTCTTCTCTCAAAACCATTTCTCTTTTCATCCTAGTGGTCAGGTCTGTGCCCTGTCCCATCTCTCCGATCCCACAGCTGGACAGGGTTGATGGGAAAATCTTTTTTCCAGAGGGCTTTACGTTCCAGACAGGATTAAATATTTTCTCACTATAGCCTTTACAGTATTTTATCTTCCTATAATCCAGCTCTCATCAGAGCAAATAGTAATATGCTTTGATGAGTGATCACGTTTTTCTGCGATATCAGATTCTTATATGGTTGGCTTGAAAACAGAACATCATCATATGTGAAGGGTCAGATCCCGTCAACATCGCCTGAAATGAATGGCTGGCTAATCTATGTGGACTGATCTAGGTGAAAGGTTATAAGTGCATTGGCGGCTTTAAGCAAACTGTGAGCTGCTTTACAACTTGCAGTGATTCCTGGGAAAGTTTTATTAGAGGTGCTGATGTTTACAAAATAAAAGCATTATATACTCATAAAGCTGAGGAGACTCCATTAAGTCTTAGCACAAAGTGGACAAGTTCTTATTATCGGAGGAAAAGGACTTCATTCATTGTGAGGTATGCTGGATGTTTTACATAGCTTGGAGGTTATGAATGAAACCAGAGATATTTGGATGAGAGACAGAGGCTGCTAACAGTGGATTTAAGAATAAGGAATGGGGAGGGGATAGAGGATCTGGTGAATGTTCTTGATCTACTGAGCAATTTGACCACTAATTAGACAAAATTGCTTCCCAATGTTGTCAGCCGGACGGAATCAGGATGCTGGATTGTGCTCTTGTCCTAATGTGCCCGCGCCCATGATCGCATGTGTCCTCTGAATTTACATGCATAACATACAGATGTGCATACCGTCGTGCTCAAACGCATGTGTTAACCTCTTGACTGAAGACTACATGCATGAAATGGGTTTTTTTTTGTGCACATGCAAATTTATGCACAAGACAAACAAAAGCCTGAACACATGGAGCGCACACACTGATCGGGACAGAGTCAGACAGGCAGCTTTTCTTCACAGTTTGTTATTTTGCGCTTTTGAAGAAAGCTGCTCCAATCTTTTGTTTGGCTCGACGCTGAAGCTCAGACAGATGCCGTGTTTTGCTTCAGGCGTGTGTATCTACACAGACACATATGTGCATTCCTGTGTATACATGTGTGTGTAAGAGACAGAGAGAGTGAAGAAGCATGTGTATGTACACATGCATACACTGCTGAACTTGGCTGCTGTGCGAGGCTGTCTGGTGCTGCTTGATGATCAGTGTGGGAGAGTCCAGTCTCCTCCTAGAGGGGAGTGTTTTTTTTTTCTTTCTCAAAATCAAAGACTAAAGGCTGGAAGCACCATGATTTTTTTTTCCTTTTGTTTTCCTAGTTATTTTTTTTCTTCTTCTCTGGTCTCCTCTTTATTTTAATTTGTTAAGTCCCAAAACGAGCCTAACTGTAGATTGTAGATTGTTTGATTATAGATGGGTAATGAACAGTACTAGCAATTGCTTTCAGTATAATAAAGTTTTGGTTAAGGATAAGGCACAATCTTATTATCAACTGAGACCAACAATGAACTGGCAAACAAGTGTTGCTTGTGTAGCCAAAGTCGAATATTGCTTATTCCTCTGTGTCACTGTTGTCTCATAAACTATTGGGGTACATTTTCCTTTATTACTGTGGACATGGGTGCTGTAGTTTACGCATCCAATTGCACATACCTGATGATGCCACAGTAAGACCAAAGGTTTTTTAATCCATGGCTTAAAGTAGCCTCAAACAAATCCACTATTTCCATATAGTAAATGTAATTGTGTATTTGTGTACAGGTGTGTATAAGGATATTTTTTTGTATTTGAGCTCAGAGCAAGACTAAATGCATTTGCTGTATAGGTCTACCACTACACGGTGCCAACTAGGCCATATAAGGATGGAAGTTCAAGTAGTGGCTGATAGGCAGGTGAGGAGTAGCAGACAGACAGACAGACAGGAAGATCTTAGTGAGCAAAAGAAATAAAGACAGATGGCTGAGAGGGAGAACTGCTGTGAGCTCCAACCTGCATGCTCAGTTTGACCTACTTTACTTTCCCCCCTCTCTCTCTCTTTCTGTTTTTGTTTCTGCGTCTCCTACTTTTTGCCCCGTTCTCCGTGATCCCCTTTCATGTAGCACAAGGAACCAATAAGGGCAATAAGTCTAGAGAAGGACTCCCACCAGACACCACCACTGATTCATATCTTTCCATCTCATCCTGTCCTTCAGAGCTGAACAGGCCGCTCTCCTTCTCTACATCTCACCGTCAGTGCCTTGGCTAGCCAACCATGCACTTTGTCTTTCATCTTCACTGAGACAATCTAACAATCTACTTTTTTTTTTTTTAATGAAAGCTATATTAAGTTTGGCGCCACTGCAGAGAACCTAATAAGGGTTTCTCCCACGAGGGAAGCCATCATTAGACTATATGTGACTGAAAGGATGAACATTGTATTGCTGAGATGGTTTCAGCATGAGGTCATTGTATCTGATTTGTGAAGTGCATTTAACAAGATTATGCCACGGTTTTGCTGGCAAACAGGAGTGCAGCGAGGAGGCCAGGTGATCGCTGAAGCCAGGGACATATTGTTCTCATTTTGTTCTAACATAATGTGTTTGCATGCAACATCTCTCTGACTGGGTGTGAGTATTTACTCAGCCTTATCTTCACTTCTAGAGTGAATTATTGTCATGGGGTGATTGTTACTGACAATCACGCTATCATTGGCTGTGTATACTGTCAGATGGAAACAAAAACCATCTCTGTTCGGCGCACCATCGACTCCTAGTTAAAGTACGGGAATGAGCTTCAGTATGTCTGTCCAGTGAGTTGACTTATTATCACAGAGACTAAATACATAGCAATCATTCCAATCCTGTTGCTATGTTCCTGTTTATGTGTGGATGTGTTTTGCAGTTTAATCTGAGCAGGTTTAATAGGATAATGCCTGCAATCCCGTGCTCTGACGTGATCCGTTACGCTGCTACCAACTCTCATATTGTTCCTCCTAAGTCCTGGTAAAACCTACTACTTGTAAATGCTCCTCTTTGAAAGCTGATTGTTGATCCAAAGACTAAACACTTGAAACAATTTAACTGGAAGGATGTGTTTAAAGGTCCAGTGAGTCATCCTTCAAAATAATCCTGTAATGCGTTGCCAGCTTTTTGTTTTTTCCACAACCATTCCTGAATTTGTTGTTATTAACAACAATTAACAAGAAAAAAGATCTCACCAGTCAGTGAGTTAGATATTACAGGAAAAATGCCTAAGTTATTTCTCATCTATGGCTTAATCTGGTTGCATTTAGTGCTGCACCAGATGAATCACTGTTTTATTATTTAATCCTTCAAATATTCAATCAGTCACTGACTAACAAAGGATACATGCCTCTCTCCTTCCACAGACTACCGGACTGGGCCATGTTTCACCCAGGTGAACAACCAGATGTGTCAGGGCCAGCTCAGTGGAATCGTCTGCACCAAAACCCTCTGCTGCGCGACCATTGGCCGAGCATGGGGCCACCCCTGTGAGCAGTGCCCTGCCCAGCCACACCCCTGCAGACGAGGCTTCATCCCCAACATCCGCACAGGAGCCTGCCAAGGTCAGACTGGAGCACATACAAAAACACTCTCTGTCTTTCTAGTACACACACCTGGTCATGCAATCAAACACACATACACAGCCACAACAAACACCGTAACCATTACTTTATCCATCATCATCTCAGCTGCATTTCCAACCCATAACATCCTCGCGCTAGTGTTAACATCACCGAGGAGTGTTTACATCTACACAGTAGTCCGGATACAAGCGTGTATTTCCTGTTAAGCTCTTATGCAGCAGGAGCTATGTACATGCATCTCTATCTGCTGCCAAAACACTAAACATGTTTAGGTGTTGCAGTAATTACGTGTCACTATGTGTTATATGTATCGTCGTATCGTCGTTCTCAAAGTCAAGACATGAGTTTATCCTCATCCTGTGCAATCTACATATGTAGCATACACAATGGATTCTGTCATTTAATGATGTAAGAATTATGCTAGAATAAGGACTTATTGTAGCAGAAATATTTTCCTGTCTCTTCCAGGATTTCTTGTTGTTTAAAGGGCACTCTGATACCTGTTACATGTCAAAGTTACTTTACTAGACTACTAGGACTGGTATATAGACTGTAAAAACAGTTGCATAATACCCCCTGTGGCTCTGGAGGAACACGGTCAAGTACAAAATTACTTACTTCTGTAATCTTGGTTTTGGCTCGGAGACTCCAAACTTTGAACAGAACGTCTGCATTACAAACTGGGGATGTGGAGTTAAAACAAGTGGGCATTTACCAGGAGCAGAGGGTCTATTGAAATATGCTATTAAGTTATCTAATTGAGTTACAGTATGGGAAGAGTTAACATCCAGTGTTAATGAGACTTCACCCAAATTAAGATATCGCTACCTCTGCTGAATTGATTTTTGACCATTCTTATTTTAAGAAGTCTGTTCCAAGTCTTCTAACTTGGTGGAAATGTAACTCTAAATTTCTGGCATGCCCCTGTAAAGCATCTGCAGTATATTAGACACAGTATTCACTCACACTATTCGGCAAACTTTACTATTCAGAATAGACATAATATAATGAAGCAACTCAGGCTAAGAGAACAAGGCAAATATGAACTGAGATTCACCCTTTTTCATCAACATTGGTCCTGTTGATGTCCCAAAACTCTGTCAGACCAGGGCAAACTCTCTCTGCATGCCTGTCTAATAACCTATGGCCCCGACCAGACTAAGCAATAAGACTGCATCAATATATGACACATGTGGAGGTCGTGTCCCTTGTTAAATGAGCCCAGCCAGGCTCTTTGTTGCCTCTATCCTGTTCCTCTCACTCAGACACACCCAGCATCACCCTAGGCAGACTGTGATGGTCGATATCTAGCTGTAACCGTCACAGAGGGAGACTGTTTTTGTATGAAGTATTTTTGATGCTTTTTGCCACCTTCCAACAGTATCAGAGCTAAGGACAATGAATTTGTGTATCAATTCTGGAAAACTCAAAGTGCAAACTCAAGTGTTGTTTGCATTTACAATAGAAAGTTACACATGATGGGCTGATAACTATTCCTGTCAGACTAATCAAAAGGTCATATACACAAGGACAGATGGAATTTTTGCTCATATGGGCGCATGTGAAAATGGCTTTATGTGCTTAAGTTTCACAAATTAATTTTTTTCTCAACTTGTGTTTGGGGAAATTTTTTAAAACTTCAATTCATTCTTAAGATTTGTGTACTGTAACACTGAAGATAGTTAAGTCCAAAAGCATGGGGCTGGAAAATAAACAGTTTGTATGTACCAACAATTATTGACGTGCATATGCCTGGCAAATATATAGACATGTGTTAAAGCAAATCAAAGGGATGTTACACAGTTTCCATGATATTATGATCCACCCAGCTATATGTATAAGTCTGGATTCATTATTTATGAGGATAAATCAAAAAAGGTAATACATCTGGGATCAGTAACTGGTTTGCATTTAGCTCCACAGCTTCCTTTCCTTTGGATGTGGCTGCCAGGTTGCTCATATGTTAGAAGTATGCCAGTGTGAGAGACCAGAGATCACTCATCCCTCTGTGACTCACATACCTCCTCTCACTCTCTTTTTCACTGTCTGCCTGTGCTTCCTTCTCCCTCTGAATCTCTGTTTGTCTTCTCTCCCCTCTCTCTAACTCCCCTCCCTCTCTCTCTCACACACACGCACACACACACACACACAAACACACTAAAGACACCTAATCGCCAGAGAGCCTGGAGCAATGTCTTGCTGGCAGCAGTACAAAGAACACATGACCATGAATCCAAATGTAAGGATTGCACTCCAGGCTCCACATCAGGATGTTGGCCAGTAGTTGCTTTCTTTCTCTCTCTCCCAGCCTTTGGCATAGAGAGCTCCTCAACATTAGACAGTATTTTCAGCCTTTCTTTGGTAAAAGGATTAGAGATCGAATGTATTCACATGATTAATGTCTATATATGTGTGTGTGGTTGAGTGTGCTTGACCATGCAGGTGTGTAAATACGTTTTTACGTTTAGTACGTACATTTTTTTTTTTGGAGCATATCTTGCACATTCACAATGCCTGGATCCTGCTCAGTGACTGAAGCTGAGGTGAATATATACCCAGCAGTGTGTTCGGTGTTTGTGTGTGTGTGTGTGTGTATGTGTGTGGGTGTGTGTGTGTGTGTGTCCCAGAGGGTACACCATTTTACAGGAACCCGCCCACTGACATACTCCCAATACTGGTAAAAGTGACTCACATTGAATGCTGGGAAAAAACATACATTTAAAAAGTCATTTCCTGTTCAAACAAGAATTAAAGTGGTCTTTCTGGAGAAGTAGAGGTATCAGACATCACAGCTGGCGCCAAGCTACTTCTCATTTTTACTTAATTCGTCTTGCAAAAAAGATGACAAGGAGAATAAACAGTGTTTAGCAACAGAATATGTGCCAGAAACATATAAACATATAAACTGCATATTGTTTGAAGTTAATTATTGGTGTTTTCCAAAAAATAAGGTACTACATCTCCTAAACCAACGGTCTGCCAATGCCAGTAATTATCCTGACTTTTGCTTCTATCTGCTTTTGTCTCCAATGACCAATTTCTGTGCCTTTCCCTTCCTTCTCTTAGATGTAGACGAGTGTCAGGCAGTGCCAGGTCTGTGTGCCGGAGGTAACTGCATCAACACTGTGGGATCTTACGAATGTAAATGCCCTGCCGGTCATCGTCAGAGCGAAACCAGCCACAAATGTGAAGGTGAGTTGGATCTAAAAAGGATTTAACACCGAGATATGTTCAACAATTAAGTAAGAAACATCCGTAATGAGGACCAAACATGTTGAGACAGTTACAATTACAAGCATCTATTATGGTAAACATCTGTTGAACTAAGGGGTCCTTGAGCAAGATACTGTTTATCTGTTCTCGCATTACTAAACATCTTTGAATTAATTCATATGAAGCAAAGTAAAGCAAGCTAATGTTAGCATTTTGAGCAATTATAGAATTTTGAAGCTACAAACTTCATTATGAACTGAGATAATGATCCTAAATTTTGATTTTGAATTGACAAAGTATTGCAAAATATATCAACCTTACTTGAGTGCAGAGAACTTGATGTTAATTTATTGGAAATTTAATAGAATTGATTGATAGTTAAATTAGATTTTGTTGAGTTAATGGTGAGACAGTCATTGGCCGTGCACTTTATGATAACCGTGGGTTTGCTCGGATCAGTTGACAAAACTCTGAGGGCTTTTAAAAAGTGACAATACGTTCATAGTTTAAGAGGTCCGCACTTGTGCACATAAACGCACATGTATACATGAAAGCACACACACACAGCAGAGTGGACTCACATTACAATGTGTTGATTGGATGGAATTTAAACAATGCCCAGGCTAAACAGTCTGATAGTTAGCCAGGCAGGGTTTGTGACTCTTGGACTGAAGCCGATGTGTTCTTAGTCTACAGCTCTTAAACTGTTGCACTGGCTATCGCAGTGTATCAGCATATGAATTATCATCTATATTCTCCTTTTTTGAACATGTAGCACTGCTAAGAGCTGCGCCAGATACAGGAAAAATACAACTATTATTTGCTGGAAACTGGCGTCTCCACCTTCAGATTCATGAGGAGCAATTACTGCAACACACACAAAAAGTGATTTATGTCTCAGTGAATGAAGGAGGAAACAGAGAGGCTGACTGAGTCCTGCTTTCAGTTGTGGTTCTGGGTAAACGCCACCTCACTTCAGGACTTACTGTAAGGAGAGAATGAGCGCTTCCAGAGATGCTGGGCACGGTTAAGAGATCTGGGTGTGGATGTTGTAGCCACATTCCAGCTGGTGTCATACAGCACAGACAGAGCTGAGTAGTTAGACCACAGACCACTCAATGAGACAAGCTGAAACACAGGACTTTCCCAGGGTGAGAGATAAGTCCTGTAACCTTTCTATCCCCTCCTTGGTCACCAAATTTGTCTAGTTACAATAATGTCCTTTATTGAGCAAAATTCTCTACTAGTGATTATGTGATGATTGATGAAATAGAGGGAGATATTCCACACCCTCTACCTCTTTCCACCACTTTACATACAGTGTTAGCTTTATTTTTTTTCAGCAAAGGTAATCATGGTTTCAGCAGGACTGGAGCTGCGACCAATTATTGTTTTCATCCGTGATTCATCTCCCAGATATTTTCAAATTAATAGTTCAATCTATAAAATGCCAGAACAAGAGACAAAGTGTATAATTTCCTATTATCGAGGATGAGACTCAAAATTCTTATTTTGTCTGAAAAACAATTACATGAACCAAAGGAAAGCAGCAAATCTGCACATTTTAGGAACTGGAACCAGCAGAGGGTTGAAGTTTTTGCTTGATCAACTAAGTGACCTAATTACTAATTATGAAAATTGTTGATTGACTAACATACAGCATATAAAAATGTTTTGGTGTATCAAGGAATCACTTTATTTTACAGTCATATGAAATAAATTGTAGCTGAGCTAATAATGTGAAATATAATTGGCAAACCACTTTTGCATTAATAGCTATATTTCCGTAAACTGAAGAATGAACTGTGGTACATTTCAGCTCTAGTGCTGATTTGTTGATGTTAGGATATGTAGCACTATTGAGTCATTTGACCCATGCAGAGTGAGAAGAGAAAGAATTCAGTGTTTGTAAAGCTCGTAAAAACAAAAGAGCAGTTGTGACGTGTATCTTAAGTCATGGATCTGCAGGAAACTCGCATTTAGAGAAATCTCGCAAACAATCAGCACAGGTCCTCTGGGGGAGGCTTTTATTGAAATGCCCTTCTAGCTAATGCGCAAACAGCCTCACTAAGAGCTTTCACAGTGAAATTAGTGAGCTTTTGGAGTAGTTAAGATAAAGTGCAGTTAAGATATCCTGGGTGTCTGATTGTTTTTGGGCACAACAAGGCACCTGGTTTTATGGCTGGCTTTTAGTTCAGACTTTGCTTAACAGTCTCTCCTTTTTTTCCCCTTCTCCTCCTCCTCTTTCTGCTTTTTGTGCCTCTCCTTCCATTTTCCTTCCATAAATACAGTCCTTTGGCTGAAAACCAGCTGTTAGCGTTGAACAAAGAAACACTTACAGCATCTGGGAGACTTTCTCATTACACACACAGACCTCCTCGTTGCTCTGACACTTGCGGACTCTCACGCATTTGCGCTGTACAAATACACTCACAGACATTTTAACACACTAGAGACACTGGCTTAATTACACACATGCACTATCTAAAATTTTTTTTTTTTTTTTTTAACGTATTGATGAGTGTTTAAGATGTGCGCACACAGTTGCACACACATTGCAGATTTGGTGGGTCCGTCACAGACATTTATCCAGGTGACACACATTTCCCGTCACACACACAGGCAGCCCCACAGCGCTATGTCTGTGTGGAGCGTAATGTCTGGCGTGCTGTTGTCGCTGCTGACACAAGGTTTATTTGGCTGGGCTTTTACAGCCTCACCTAGGCCCTCTGCCACTGCTGTCAGACAGAAGTCAGCAGGGGAAGAACAGCCTCTTAGCTTCCATTACTACACATATCCACTCTAAGACGCAGATACACACACGCAGAACGACACGCATGGATACAACTTACACCCTCTTTAGTCCTCAAAAGACAAACACGAACACACCCTTCACTTTTCCAACTGAACACGAAAGGCACATACACACACACACACACACACACTCAGTACCACATGCACCACGTCTGCACTTATTCTGTAATTATGTCCCGCAGTGGCGCAGCAATTACGTATGCGTATAAATAAGCGTGACACATCATAAAAACCCAATACCTTCTGGAACTTCACTTTGGGTTCCCCCCATCATGGAGCAATGAGGCCCCCTCTCACTGAATAATACAACTTAATGCTGTGATAATGTGCACCACACCGAGGTGGGCCCTGCCAAGTACCGTGCCCAGGTACTGTCACATGTTGTAGACGTTTATGAGTCAGACCGTGGCTTGTTTAAATCAGGAAAGTTTACTTCACTTTAACCTGTTCCCTCTGTTCCCTTTTAGTATGGACACTAATTTCAAAGTTTTTCGATTGGAAGCGATTGTTTGCATCAATTGCTCTAGTGAAGATCTTACATTGGACAGTGCTGATGCTTTTCTTCTCTCACTGATCGTTACAGTTTACTCTATCAGATTGTTCCTGTCATTTACATGTCACGTCTAACAAGCTGAGGCTTTGCCTGAACAGAACACATAAGAAGTGAAGTAGTTTCACTTTGGTAGACGGCAGATCCATTTGGAGTTGTTTAATTTTCCCTAAGGGAGAAATTGTTGCTCCAGTGCAATAAAGTTTTACTGCAGCGTGCTACTGCATCTCTTCAAACAAAGAAACTGAACAATTTTTGAAGCTGGCGTCAGGCGTAACCACTCGACAGCTGTGTTCTGTGATGAGCGCTATTTTTGATCTGACTGTGTGTGTTTCAGATATTGACGAATGCAGCACCATCCCTGGTGTTTGTGATGGAGGAGAATGCACCAACACTGCTGGTAGCTACGTCTGCACCTGTCCGCGAGGCTACATCTCCAGCACAGATGGCTCCAGATGTGTGGGTGAGTCTCACACATATTACCAGCATTTCTCTCTCTCTCTCTCTCTCTCTCATTTGTGCATTTCCTCACCCCCTGGCTAGCTAAACGCTTCACATCTAGCCAGTAACTTCCCTCCCTGCTTCCTGTGAGTGGAGTTCTGATGAGTCAAGCCGGACCTGTGGTCACCATGTGCAGACAAACACACTTGCACGCACTATTTGGCCTTGACAGCATTAACCTACTCTAATGTTAGTGCTCCTCTGACTCATTCGCACACACGCGCTGACACACATAGAGCGCATACCTAACTGACATGTCCCATGAAACACTACCAGGTGTTAATGTATTCCTGAAATCCTCAACCCTCATGGCAGCCACAGTGAAACACAACCAGGTGTTAATATATTATTTCAAGATTTAGAACCAAAACTGACAGCTCAGGGTCTTTCTCTTTCACCCTATCACCTCTAGTGAAAATACATGATTCCCCTAAGCTCGATCTTTCATTATACATTTTATTCCCCGTTTAAGTAATTTTCTAGATTTAATGTGAACCGTTCCCCATCATCTGCAGAAAATAATGAGCTGCGCTGTTTTTGTTTTGGAAAAAGTACGAGACAAAAATGGGTTGAGAATATTTAAACTCCCAGTTCCCAATTCCCAAGCTCACATGTGCCCTTTCATGCACAACAGGGTGGAGGCTGATCTCACAGGTAGTGTAAGAGCTTGCCTGAAGCGTTCTAGCCTTCAAGGTAACAGGCATATGCTGTTGTTTTAAGGGAAATCAGAGGGGGCAGAGAGTGAAGAAAAAAAACTAAAGATGGCATCATAAACCCCAACAAGCTGGAATGGCTGCAGGGATTTGTTCTCATTTAGCCACAGTGGGTAATTAGCCATCAGTGACTGCAGGCACTTGTGTTTGATAAGGCCTTGTTGGCAGGTAGCGATCCGGTTCATCAGGTGTTGGATAAAGTTGAAATCAGGGCTCGGTGCAGACCAGTCAAGTTCTTCTAAACCAAAACTGGGAAACCATTTTTTATGGATCTAGCTAAAATGAAAAAGCCCTTCCACAAGCCATGAAGTTGGAAGCATACTATTATATGCAGAAGTATTAAGATTTTCCTTAATTGGAACTCAGTCCAAACCATGAAATATAGCCCCTACAGTGCTCAAACATATATAGACAGGGCAGTCTCCATACTTTTGGCCATGTAGTGTATACATAGGCACTGGACAAGGGGGAGAAAAGTTTCATGGGAACATGAAAAGTAATGAGAGGAAAAATGCAAAATAAGAAGTAAGTAAGTAAAATATTAAAAAACAGACAACATATGGAAGGAGAAGAGGAAAGACATTAAAGATGCAATTGCTATTAAAATGATCTGGATTGTGTTTTCCTAAACAAACAGGTGGAGCACTGGAGAGGAGTTAAAGATAGTCAGAATCATCAGGAATAAAGTGCTACCTTGCAGCCTGGTCTGCCTGTGTTAAAGACAGTGAATCTCACATTGAAGCACTCTTCCAATCACCCTGACCCAAAAGTTCTCCATCTGTCTGTCTTTATGCGTGTCCACATTTTTTTTTTCTCCCTCTCCACTGCCGTCCCCTTTCTTCTTCTTTTCTGTGAAGCGATATATCATTCTTTCGCTGTATTTCTCACTTTCTCACTCTGTCTTTCTTCTGCAGAAAGCATGGATCACACCAAAGCTCATTCCCTCAGCTAACAGCTCAGTGATTTACAGTAGAATCAGTTTATTCTGGAACTGCGCACATTTCTATCTCCGTTTGGACCTTGTCTGTCCTTTTTTAACTGCTTATCTCCAAAACTGAAGCATTCTCGCACTCTCACCCTCCTTATCTATCTTACCGTTTCCTCTTGGCCCCCTTTTTTTTTCTCCCTTTTTCTCCCATCTGGATACTGCACCTCACTTCCTTTAGTTGTGGTTTCCAGTTGCTCTTCTGCGGTCTGCCGAAGGGAAAGAGAAAAAGAGAGAGAGCAAATAAACAGGTGCCAGACACAACCCCCATATATCCTTCCTCTGTCTCTGTCCCTCTTTCAAAATGGACCAGATTGTGAGGAGACAGAGGGAGAGATAAGTTAACCCAAACAAAACCAGACTAGACCGGGGGCCAGTTTCACAAACATATCTCAGACTGGTCTGTAGTGTTGGACCGGTCTTAATTTGGCTCATAGATCAGTCCAATGCAAGTAAGACTGTTTCACAAAAATAAAGACTGTCTAATTTTAAGCCAAAAAAATTAGACTCCTTACCCCCAGGCTAACTCAGGTCTAAGACTAATGTTACCGTGGTAACAATCAGTGACACCTGTGCTGGCCAGTAGCACCCAACAACAAAAAACAAAAAAACATGGCTCATAATTTGTGGTTTGCTAACATCGTTATGGAAAGAGCAATGCAAGGGGAAAGAGTTTTAGCGACCGCAGGAACTGCCTCTCCTCCTCTGCTGTCTCATCCATACCGTCCAAAGACAGGGTCGCTAAGAAAAATAAACACCGACAGTACTACTTTATTCTGAAGGCCAAATTGTAACGTTTGTCGACATGTAACTTGCCGGTAGCTTGCATATAGGCTGTATCGTTAAATCGGTAGAAGCTAGCTACCTGCTCAACCGTTAGCATACCAAAACCACCGTCACAAAGTAAACATTTTTCTTTTGACTGCGGTCATTCAAACAATAACAAGAGACATTATTGACCTAATGTTACCTGTGTTCTCTTGGCTGTCGCTGGCCTCTGTCTGTCCCTCACGGGAGGCTGCTGGTGGGCTGCTGTCACCTCCAGCACTGGCCGGTGTGGGTGGTGGAGCCCCATTCGCACTGTTGTTGACCCCATATACTCCGCTCTCTCGTCCACTGTTTATTCCCCAAAACAGAGGTGACTGCCGTATATATTCAGTACAATACTACTAGTGTCTAGTGTCTTTAAGCTTTTCCTGTGGTCATCCTCCTGTTTTATGATTTCGTATTTTAAACATTTCTTTCTCTGCGTCTTGTACCATTTAAAAAAAAAATATCTTTAAGTAAAACGTCCTTGTAACTTAAATTCTTCCAGTAGACAAACATTTTCTGCTGGGGTAAATAGAGGTCGGCGGTTGGATGTGGTGACTTGGTCGGCCATTTATTTGTTTTGAAAAAACTCTTAATTTACCCATAATTCATTTACCACAGTCAGATTTAAGATAGTCAACTAAACTGTTTTGTGCAAGGGATGAATTTAGATGTTTATCTGAAGTCTGACTATCTGTTATATTTAAGCTATAGTCAAAGCCTGTCTTTGTGAAACCAGCCCTGGGTCAGGTCATATTCCAGACCGGTGATCCAAAGGCACACTTACACACAAATCCGAGCTTTGAAAAAAGAGACATAATAAACTCTGCTTGTTTCCTCCTCATGTGGCTGACACCCTTTGATGAAATTTCTCATACTGTATGATCTGTTTGCATTTTTTTTTGTGGTCAGAACATAAAGTGAATAAATTGTTTGTATAGGGCTAATTTCTTGCTTGCTTACCCTCATGTTTTAGCTGCAGGTAAGCTATACTGTGTAAGTCCCTGTGTATTGCCCTGTTGTGTTTTGCGGGATGTACTGTACTGTGGTGAAGTAGGCCAGTGGGAGCTGTTGGGGGGCCTGACAGTAATCAGAGCCTAATGCCCTGTCACACGGTGGAAGCTTGAAAAAAACACAAGACCTGTCCAGTCAGTCTGTAAAAACACCTCACCAAATGAAAGCATATGCTTGTGTAGTGGAGCAATACTGGTGAGCAAACCACGGTCTGGATCCAATTTAAGTCATCATCATCCTCATCAGCAACCCCCCCCTCTCTCTCCTCCCCTCCTTTCTCCTCCATCATACCACCAGATCAGTCATTCCTATGGGATGTTTTTGGTGTTGCGTTTATGTGTATATGTGTATATGTATGTGTGTGTGTGTGTGTGTGTGTGTGTGTATACATTTGTACAAACAAATGTGTGTGCCTGTGGATATATAAGGGAATGCATATCTGTCTGTGTAAGTACAAGTGAACGCGCGTGTGTGTGTATGTGTGTGTACTGTACTCTGTGTGCTCCCAGACTCAGCACAGCCCCTCATGTTCTATCTAATTGGCAAGAATTGCTCCACATGGAACTGATTAATTCCAGACTGCTGGCTCATTAGTGAGTTAATCGACTTGTGCTCCTCCCTCCACCCCCACCCCCCCTCCCTTTAGTCTGCTTTTCCCTTTTCTCCCACTTTTTTCTGTATATTCACTTAAAATTCTCCTACACATGCATCCTCTCTCTCTGGCTCTCTCTCTGTGGCCCTGGCTCTATCTCTCTCTCTCTCTCTCTCACTCTTTTCTTTTTCTTCTCTTGGTGTTTTTCTTGAATACCCAGAAACCCCCCGTTCACCCACTCCATTTACTCCTCACACATGATCTTTGAACCCCAGGCCCCTCTCCTGCCCCATTGACCCTGACCTGGCAAACTGTAACAAATAAGACCCCTTTTTTGGAGGCCCTTCAGATGCCTGCAGTTAGTCGAGACCACAGGCAACCTTTCCCACTGCTAACCCATTAAAGAAGCTTCCTCTTCAGCCACCATGGAGAGGGCAGGACAGCCTTCTAACGTACTGCACTGTTGATTTCAGAGGGTTTATTACCTGTAACCTTTTCCCATGTATAATATAATGTTACAACATAACAGCAGGCTGAAAAGCTGTGTTTCACTGCCCTCTTTGGTTGAAAGTTTCAAATCTGTTGCACCTCTGACTGCACATACCTCAGTGATGTCACAGTGTACTGACACAACCTGCCATACACTCTTACATCACTGCAGCAAGGTGTGAAGTTAAACCACTGGAGGTCAGCAGTCTATGAAGTAGTTGTTTAAGATTTTATTCAGGTAACAGTAACAATCTATCAAAGCTATCCAATCTAAATAAGAAAAGAAAATAATGAAATAATATTTTTTTTGTGTTAACTTGTTCGTATATACAATTATTATACTTTACCTGTCATGATGTTTTATTTGGTCTAGCGACTCTATATACACTAGTGTTTATGAATTTTAACTCATAGTGTTGTTTTCCAGGTCTGCTGACTCATTTGTATGCTCATACTTCAGCACAATAGAGCGTTTGCAACATTTGTTGCTTGTCCAGTCCTCTCATTGTGTCTATGTGTCTCCTCCTCTTTCAGACCAGCGTGTGGGCACCTGTTTCTCTGCTCTGGCTAATGGCCGCTGTGCTGCGGAGCTGAGCGGTCAATACACCAAGATGCAGTGTTGCTGTGACACGGGACGCTGCTGGGCTTTGGGACAGATCCCTGAGATGTGCCCAGTCAGGGGTTCTGGTGAGTACACATAAAAACAAGATACTGAGGACAGAAGATATATGCAGATCCCATTTCCCAGTTGTTGACAACCAAACTTAGGCCCACCAACATCTGTGTTGTTGCAAACAAAAAGACGGATATGAGCAAAAAATTAGGACAAAACATCCATCACCTTCCTCCTCTGCTGACAAAAAACTGGCAGTCCCCACAATACATTGTCTGTGATTTGGCATGAGCGCAGGCAGTAAATAAAGCCATGACTGCATAAATGGTTCTCAAGCCAAATGAATTTAACACAGTAATACTAGACAAGACTGACATTGTTAGAGAGAGGCTGCTTTGAGTTTGTGTGAGTGTCATGACAAGAGAGGCCAGGGCATCCACTCAGACTGATGAGCATGATGTCATGAGCACAAACCAAACAGAGAAAGATGGAAAAGATTTGTGTGAAGATAATGACCCATCATCTCCTAAGTCAAGCTGGAATTGGGAAAACTCTTCCTCTGCGTGAGACAGTGTGATCCATAACTGATGTGTTACAGAATGTTCTGTTTCTTTCTCTGGCCCCACCAAAAGATGGGTGTGTTTGATTTATTGTGACTGTCCAAAACATACAGACAAACAAACATACTATAAATAGACACACACACCTGCATACATAAATCATACATACAGACATACAAAAAAACATACAATAGACTTATTGTAACTACATGCCAAAGGAGAGCAGAGCAGGTAATTATTTGCACACATTTTTCTCTTATTACTTGGTCAGGCTTTGCTCCAGTCAAAGCATATCTGAAACCAGTAAAACTCTTACAGTAGACAGTCAGCTTTGTAACCAACTTCAACAAGAGAACATCAAAATTTACTGCAAAGTGCAATGGCCGTTGTGAAATCTTCCAGGTTCCAGAGTTCCAGGAAACACTGAGTACATACACTGTAGGACCTCTAATGGGTAGGCTGATCTGGAGTACTTGTTGAGTCTGAATTACTGTTCTAACCTAAATTGTTTAAACACAAAATCTTTTTTTGGCACAACTTGGGGCCTGATAAATATATTTTAGCTCAGTTCCATCTGGCTGGTAACAAATGAATCATAACCTACAGCAGTCCGCAAACACTGACTTGTTCCCTGTGATCTCTGTTTCTCTTGTAGACGAGTTCAGGCGTCTGTGTATTGTGGGCGTTCCCCAGGGACACGGTCTCCCTCATGGTTACCCCAACGGACACTTCCCCAGCAACGGCAATGGTTTCAACTACGGTCACAAGTTCCCCGGTGTACCCAACGGTAATGGTAACGGAGGCATCGGTGGCAACGGTGGAGGAGGCTTTGGAGGCAATGGAGGAGGACCTCTGACTCACCAGCACATAGGTGAGTCTTTAAATGTGACATTAGATGCAAAGGTTAATTTCTAGAGTTAGAATGGATAAGTTCTGCATTGTATTTTTGTGTGTCTGCTGTGTTTTGGTAATCCCCCCCGTGTGTGTTTTCTCAGGCACTGTTTCTGTGAACGACTCCATTGATGTATGCAAACATTTTACCAACCTCTGCCTTAATGGACGCTGCATTCCCACACCCACAAGCTACCGCTGTGAATGCAACATGGGCTACAGACAGGATGTTCGTGGGGAGTGTATCGGTAGGAAACATGCTCACACACACATTGTTTACTGTATAATGTTGCTCAGTTCTCACTAATCTCTCTGAGCCATATGGGCAGAGACTATGTGATAGTGCCACAGATAATAGTTTGCACTGCACTGCCATCTTCTGCCGATATAGGGAACAAGTGTTGGTTGACGCCTGCAGGTGAAGTCTGCTAAAATGTGAATTGTGTTTCTTTGTGATGTGTTGTGTGTATTTAAACCCATTCACTGTGACAGTCAGGAGAGGTCGTGGTTTCTTGTTGACTTTATTTTTCTTTCTCCAGATGTGGAAGAGTGTGTGAGTAATCCATGTATCAATGGAGACTGTGTCAACACAGCTGGATCGTACCACTGCAAGTGCCACGAGGGCTACCTGGGAACACCTACCAAACAAGCCTGTATTGGTACGTCAGATTTTCAACCTGTTTTACTGTAATCAAGATTTTTCTTTAACACTACTTTAGTATGCACGTATTACTAAACAGGTTAAGAAGCATTTAACTAAAGCTTAAATGCACAACTCAACATGATTTGTGTTTAAAAGACAATTGATTAAGCCCTGCTCTCCTCCCCTCAGATATCGATGAGTGTATTGTGAATGGAGTGATGTGTCGCAATGGCCGCTGTGTCAACACGGAGGGAAGCTTTCAGTGTATCTGCAATGCTGGCTTTGAGCTCACTCCTGATGGGAAGAACTGCATTGGTAAGGAACCAGCACATGACCAGGTTGAACCTCAACATGGACCTTCACCTTTACAAATTTGACCTAATTCCTATTCTCTCGCCTTCCTCAGATCACGATGAATGTGCCACCACCAACATGTGTCTCAACGGCATGTGCATCAACGAGGACGGCAGCTTTAAGTGTATCTGCAAGCCTGGTTTTGCACTAGCACCTAACGGACGCTACTGTACTGGTATGTATGATTTATAATGTACAAACACAGACCTCAAAACTTGGGCCAGAGTCAAACAGACTGCTTCAACACAGTGTTGACAGATTTGGTGTTCTCTGAAATCCTGCAGACCCCTTTTTGAACCCATTTGTGCACAGTTTTGTTTCAGAAATCAGGCTTTTTGAAACATCCCCAGGGTGCTATTAGGCGCAGTCCAGAAAAAGATAGATAGATTAATTTTTGAGTCTCTGTTGAGAGATTTTGTCTGGAAGCTTCGAGAGTAGCTGTCATTCCATTGCGGTCACACCATAACGCAGACAGCACAGGTGCATATCCCAAATATAACACATACCAATCTCCCCATGACCTGATTCCTCATTTCTATGCCGTATTTTCAGTTAGCTGTGAGTTAGCTGTAGGCTCAGTGAAAATATAGTCCTATGACAGCACAAACCTACATAACATGAATGAAATCTGTTTCCGTAGATACTTCCATATTTACTTCCTCCATAATTCTCCTTCAATCTACTAATTCATATGGATCATTCTGTAAAGCGCATGAACTGACATGTGATGGTTAATAATCTGCCCTCTCTTCATCAGACATCGATGAGTGTCAGACACCCGGCATTTGCATGAACGGCCGCTGCATCAACTCTGAGGGCTCCTTCCGCTGCGAGTGCCCACCAGGCCTGGCTATTGACGTAGATGGGAGAGTGTGTGTGGACACACACATGAGGACCACCTGCTACGGCGCCATAAAGATGGGCACATGCTCGCGTCCGTTCCCTGGTGCAGTGACCAAGTCTGAGTGCTGCTGTGCCAATCCTGAACATGGCTTTGGAGAGCCTTGCCAACCCTGCCCCTCCAGAAACTCAGGTAACATCTTTGATTTTCTTTAGACTGCCTATTTCAGTTCTTTGTTATTTTTTCATTTTGTGAAAGTGAAAATAAATAAATAAATAAATCCAGCTCATTAAATGTGTTTTCTTCCCATCCTTCAGCTGAGTTCCAGGCTGTGTGCAGCAGTGGCATTGGCATCACAGCTGATGGCAGGGGTGAGTATGTTGCTCATGAATGTGAATTCTCCCACTGTGTTGTTAAGAAGTGCTCATGTCATCATTTATCTACATCTGCTGGATAATACCTCACTTCTTCTAGACATCAACGAGTGTGCCCTGGACCCGGACATTTGTCAGAACGGCATTTGTGAGAACCTGAGAGGAAGCTACCGCTGTATCTGTAACATCGGCTATGAGTCTGACACCAGTGGCAAGAACTGCGTTGGTGAGTGGATTTAATGACACTCTGGTTTACAAAAACACACACACACACACACACACACACACACACACACACACACACTCACACACACACAACACACACACACACACACACACACACACACACACACAGTATTGACCTCAGTGCAAAGTTAGCCATGTGTCTATTTTAAAGTGAATCTATGTAGCTTTTTGTTAATATTGGCCACAAGTTAAAACAATAGTACAACAGTAGAGAAGAGTCTTCAGTCTTCCATAATTTACTCAATAATGTTGATTATACAGCAGTTTACTGACATTAGCTTTACTTATACCAGACCAAGGAGCACTGCAGCAGCAAAAGCCCTGAGTGTATTGAATTGAGCCGGTGTGCTCATTAAACTGATTCAAGATGCCATTTGTGATAGAATGTATTATTTTTCTCTCAAAATCCACAGTCTCACTTTACAGGACGGTGCTGATGGTTGAGAAATGTACTCCTCTAATTAGAAATGACATAGATAAACATTACTCCTGAGTGTTTTCTAAATTGATGTAATGATCATGCTGACCTCTTTTCTCCCCTCAGACATCAATGAGTGTCTGGTGAACCGTCTGCTCTGTGACAACGGCCTCTGCAGAAACACTCCTGGCTCCTACACCTGCTCCTGCCCTAAAGGATTTGTCTTCAAACCTGACTCAGAGACGTGCGAAGGTGAGCACACACACACACACACACACACACACACACACACACACACACACACACACACACACACACACACACACACACACACACAAAAACACACACATTCTCTCTGACACCCCAACACACTCACGTGTTTGCTCTGCTTCCCATGTGTTATTTTCACCAACAAATCAAGGTCATTATAAGGTGACATTATTACCAGATGTGTTGCATTTAGTTTCAAGTAAACATGCAGCTCATGGGAAGAAGGCACAAACGTTGTGTTCATAACTGCCAAGTGGTGATGATGATCCATTTCAATCAGCCCTGATCTCAGGTGTTCACTTGCACATGTTCCAGATATCAACGAATGTGAGTCCAGCCCCTGCATCAATGGAGCGTGTCGCAACGTGGCCGGGTCCTTCAACTGTGAATGCACCCACGGCAGCAAGCTGGACTCCACCAACACCATCTGCGTGGGTAAGAAATCCATCCTCCCACTTGTCTGCCGCAAATTAGAGCAGCACCACAGGGTCCTAGAAACAGCTTGTGTCTGATAATGATTGCACCCTGAGACATGAACGTCAATGGGAAACAATTGGTGCAAGAGTCCTTTTGTCTTATCATTTTAAATCGAGGTTTACTCTCCACTTTTGTAAATAAACAGTGAGGTGGTTCAGGTTTCCAGGAGCCATCCAGAGACATTATTATCCTCAGATGTTGGGAAAAACACAGATGATTTATTAGATAAATACTTGCATGCATGGCCTTGGTTCACATGGAGATTGGTTTACTTCATAGAGATCTGCCGCAGATTCAGATTGACGTGTGGTATGTAAGACTCTCTTGCTGAGGTTAAATATTCCACTTGTTTGGAGGTTTGTTATTTTCGGGGAAATCATTCTGAGAAAGCTACATGCTAATACAGAATACAGATGTTATTGTAACTGAAAGGGAGAATGAGTCATTACAAAAACACTCATGCATATTGCATGAGCTGGCTCTGTCAGAGGTCTTCAAATTCCTCTGGTTTGGTTCATTTCTGTTTTATGTTTTAGAGCCCATCACTTCGTGGGGGGAAGAAAGGGAATGTAAACTGTGGCTTTGTGTTTGGGTGGTGTTGTTGTTTTGGAGAGAAGGTGTCATTGTTATGACTGTACACTCGTTCATTTCATTAGGAATGCAGTAGCATAGGATTAAATGTAACAGCACATGAGCTTTACTCAGCCTGTAGCCACAGACACAAGTTTCATGGCAGTAAAAAGAGTTGAAGGTGACATGTTGATTGTTTTTGTGGTGTATTTTGTTGCCATAGTTAAAGATTTTGACCACTAGTGGTGCTATGTAGCTATGTTTTGATGAGAAAATCTCTGTTTTGTTTGTATCTAGTGCTCTATTCGCACACGCACAAGGAAAAATATTCAGTGAAACTGACTTTGCAAATGTTTTATGCATTCGATATTATGCCACAAGGATGCACAAAATCAGTTTTTGGTGGGAAACACTGAGAAAATTCCACAGGGTCGCTTTAATCAAGTCCTCTCTGCTGTTACTTTGGCTCAACAGATAGTATGAAGAGTACGTGCTGGCTGACAAAACAGGACAACCGCTGTGAAGTCAACATCAACGGAGCCACACTAAAGTCTGAGTGCTGCTCCACACTGGGAGCCGCTTGGGGCAGCCCCTGTGAACCCTGCGAGATCGGTCAGTTCAATCACACACATTCATAAAATATGGGTTCCTTAAGTCTGATACCAATGTTTTGAATTGAAGCCATTAAGATTTTGTGCCATGGCAGATTTCAACGTTTTTAACAGCAAAATTCAGCATGGAAAGAAATGAAATGTTTTTAGGAAAGAAGCAATTCAATTCAAGGGGAAGACTGAAAGTATTACTGCTTTTAAATTATGAGCTATTTTGCAATTGCTGACTTTAAGTGCAATACGTTAATAACCCATGAGCACCAGAATAAGGAAGGAGATAAAACATTATTTTCCACATTCGTTTTTGGCAGCTTTGGTCACCATACTGTGAATGTGACTGGACCGAATCAATCAAATATTAACTAAAAGTCAATAGTTTGGCATTAAAATACATTAAATGTTTTTTTCACATCTCTCAAACTTCTCATGCTCCTCAGACACCGCCTGTTCTCGAGGATTTGCTCGTATGAAGGGCCTTGTCTGTGAAGGTAAGAACATTTGATCTCTATATCCAACATCAACACCCGTGAAGTAATTTCATCTTTTTGTCCTTGTAACGTGCCCTAATGTTCTCCCTGCAGATTTCTTTTGAAAAGTAAATTTGTTAGTGTGTGTGTGTGTGTGTGTGTCTCACCTTGTAATCACGGTTCTTAAAATTGTCCCTTTCCCTGTAGACATTAATGAGTGTGAGGTGTTCCCTGGAGTGTGTACAAACGGCCGCTGTGTGAACACCCAGGGCTCATTCCGCTGCGAGTGTGCTGAGGGTCTCACCTTGGACAGTACTGGACGCACATGTGTGGGTAAGAAAACGTACATTATATCATCTGATTAAACAGTTACTTCCAGGGGCTGTCAACATACTTCACTATAAGGCCAAAATTTAAAACAGAGGTGACTTTTTAAAAAAGTTTATATTACCAACTTTTCCAGATATGCGCAGTGAGCAGTGCTACCTGAAGTGGCATGAGGATGAGTGTGGCGCGCCACTGCCAGGGAGATATCGCGTGGACATGTGCTGCTGTTCAGTGGGTGCTGCCTGGGGTATTGACTGTGAGGAGTGTCCCAAACCAGACACACCTGAGTACAAAGCCGTCTGCCCCAGAGGGCCTGGCTTCGCCAACAGAGGAGATATTCTTACCGGCAGGGCGTTCTACAAAGGTATGGGGATTCTCAGCTTCCTGGAAATGGACACATCCATCCAATTTGTCATGCTGTATGGCCAAAAAAGATCAGATATGAAGAAGAACATCTACAATACTCATGTAAACTATATGAAAACTGTATTATTTTGACCACATCATGATTAGTAGTGGCCATCCATACAATCACACCGAAACTGCATTGAAGTCATCAACATGGTGTAATGACAATTCATCTTAGTGGATTTGGATAGTGTTGTCAAATGGATGATGTCTGTAGGTATACTTTAGTGTCTGTGTCTGTACGATGTGAGTATTAATGACCATTGTCTGTCTCTCAGATGTGAACGAGTGTAAGGTGTTCCAGGGTCTGTGCACTTACGGTACTTGCCGAAATACCATCGGCAGTTTCAAGTGTCGCTGCAACAACGGCTTCGCTCTGACGGCTGAAGAGAGGAACTGCACAGGTGTGAGAGAGGGGGAGATTTACTATTCATGAAGTATCTCTGTCACACTTAGTGAGCACTTAGCGAGCTTTCTTTTCTTCGTATCGTTGTGTTTCAGACATTGATGAGTGCCGCATCTCCCCCGACTTGTGCGGTCATGGTACCTGCGTCAACACACCCGGCAGCTTTGAGTGCGAGTGCTTCGAGGGCTACGAGAGCGGCTTCATGATGATGAAGAACTGCATGGGTGAGTTGGAAGCACATTCATACACACAAATACACACTTTCAAAGGAAACACTCCATTTGAATTCATGCCCACAATGTGAAATCACAGTCCAGTTCACTTCTCTGTTCTTTCCTTTTTTTTAATTCTTTTTTTTTCCTCTTCTTGCTCCTCTTCTCCCTCCTCATCCCTCCTTCCATCTCCTCCTCTCTGCTGACAGACATTGACGAGTGTGAGAGAAACCCCCTGTTGTGTCGTGGAGGAACCTGTCTGAACACAGAGGGGAGTTATGAGTGTGAATGTCCCACCGGACACTCGCTCAGCACCGACGGCTCTGCCTGTGAAGGTTGGTCATATATCATACAGCATACACACAGATGTATTCACACACACAGGCTCCCTGGGTGTTATATATCATTCTCTGCATATCCAAAAGCAAGTGCACTCATAACATCAGTCATGTCCCAAAAAAGAAAAGTAGCTTTCACACCTCTCTTGTTGATCTTTTCTCTTTGGCTCACGTAATGACGCAGACAAGGTTCAAGCCTTGAATAATTATAAACCCATTCTCCAGCTGAGGAAAGAATGTTGTTTTTCATTCCTACCCCGAGGTACTATACATTTCTATTTGTTTGTCGGTTCAGATGTGAATGAGTGCCAGCTGAGTGACAACTTGTGCAAGAACGGCCAGTGTGTCAACATGCCAGGAACCTACCAGTGCACCTGTGACACTGGTTACCAGGCCACACCAGACCGACAGGGCTGCGTTGGTGAGTGGGATACAAAAATAAGTTTGCTTGCACGCAAGCCAGCATACTGTTGACGGTTGATCTTGTAGTGTATTCAACTATTGTGAGTCTGACACTTATGTTTGTAATTATCAAAATGTGTCTGTTTTCACTGAGACCTGAATGTCTAAACTGTAACTGCGACTTCTCTCGTTTCAGATATTGATGAATGCACCATTATGAACGGAGGCTGTGAGACCCACTGCACCAACTCGGAGGGAAGCTACGAGTGCAGCTGCAGTGAGGGCTACGCTCTCATGCCTGATCTCAGGACCTGTGCAGGTAACAAAACACAGGACATGTACAGTTTGTCTGTATTTCAGGCAATTCTTTACGCAGAAAAAAAGTATTATTAAAAGTTTAAACAAAGCAATCATATGAAAATAAACAGTAAAATATTCATATATTTCTGTCTGGTCTTCTAGAGTGTTGCCACCTATATAACACTTAAATATATTTCTGCTGTTTCTATTAGATATTGATGAGTGTGAGGAGACACCTGACATCTGTGATGGAGGCCAGTGTACCAACATTCCCGGGGAATATCGCTGTCTGTGTTACGATGGCTTCATGGCGTCCATGGACATGAGGACCTGTATCGGTGAGAGGAGAAACACATGCTGACATCTTTATCTTTTTACATTTGCCTTTTTTTTTTTCTGTCTGCCACATGAATGTATTCACTCAGTCTCTGATCTGATATGTTTTTCTGCTTGTCCAGCTTCCTATGGGACTTTCTCTGTCAGTGTCAATATCTGTCACCTTATCTCCAAGGCCAGAACATTCACGTACTATCTGTGTCTGTCCATCCCTGTCTTGCACAGATGTGAACGAGTGTGATTTGAACCCAAACATCTGTCTCCACGGCGACTGTGAGAACACCAAAGGCTCCTTCATCTGCCACTGTCAGCTGGGATACTTTGTCAAGAAGGGATCCACGGGCTGCACAGGTGCACATGCACACACAGACACACATACGAATACCGGGGGCTGAGCTGTCGCTGAGAGGTCTGGGCCTCTGCGTGTCCATATCCGCATCTGAGAGTTGAGACAGGTCATCCATGCATACAATAGTTCCAGGTCTACATTTTAGAAGTGAATGATTTATTTATACTTTACCATATCTGGAGACCAGGAGCAGAATTAGAATTGCAGTGGGTAGTAAAAAAGCAAAGTTGCGATGTCCTTAAAGAAAGGAGCATTTCGCTCCAGCAAACTAAATATTATATTATATTCTTTTGTTATTCAGGCTGCCACGGGAAAATTATTTGAAAAAAAAAAAATCAGTTTTTACTGTGTCTCCATTGGCTAATTTATCTCCACATCCCTCCAGATATTGATGAGTGTGAGATCGGGGCTCATAACTGCGACATGCATGCTGCCTGCATCAATGTTCCTGGAAGCTTTAAATGTCGCTGTCGAGACGGCTGGGCGGGCGACGGCATCAAGTGTGTGGGTGAGTACGTCTTCAGATTATCTCAGCTGTGATGTGATTTGAAGATTTGCCGTGCAAGACTGGTCTAAAAGAGAAAATACAGGAGCAAAATTGTCTCCTGAACCCTAGAATATGTGTTGATTTAAGTCTATTTTTTTCTCCCTGCCTTTAGATCAGGATGAGTGCTCTGCAGAGGATCACAACTGTAACCCCAACGCGGACTGTGTCAACACACCAGGATCCTACAGGTGTACATGCAAAGAGGGCTTTAATGGAGACGGCTTTTCATGCTCTGGTAAGGCTGTCAGAACTTTCTAAGTATAGTAGCTATTGTGCGTGCAGCGAGGTTCATGCCCGCAGAGTTTTTGTAATCTGCTGATCCGATCTGTTTCAGACATGGATGAGTGTGCAGACAACGTGAACCTGTGTGAGAACGGCCAGTGTCTGAACGCTCCGGGCGGCTACCGCTGCGAGTGTGAGATGGGCTTCACGCCTACAGAAGACAGCAAAGCCTGTCAAGGTGTTGCACTCATTCCGTCCCATTTCATTCTCTCCTTTTATTCTCCTGTTCTTTTTTCATTCAGGTATTGTTACTAACATTATTTTCCCTCTCTCTGTCGCCTTTGCCACAGACATTGATGAGTGTAATTTCCAGAACATCTGTGTGTTTGGAACGTGCCAGAACCTTCCAGGGATGTTCCGCTGTGTGTGTGATGATGGTTACGAACTGGACCGCAGCGGCGGAAACTGCACTGGTCAGTAACTGTATCTCTAGAAAGAACAGACACTTGGCTGAGTGTCTTTGTCAGTAATAAAATTCATTCATGCATCATTTTACTATTCATAATTCTTAGACCAAAGATCTACTGTAGTCATCTGTTTATTCCCTTCATTCTTACTCATTGTGCAGCTTAACTCTCAATTCAACCGCAGTTACTTTGTGGTATAAACAAGATTTTAGTCATTTTGAGCGGATACATTATTTTTGGCTTCTGTGTTTACAGCAGCATATAAAGTAGTACATTGAGAAAGATGACTGTTATCTGGTGTGTTGTTGCTGAGCTTCTGCGTGTCGCTGTATACCGCAGACATCAACGAGTGTGCGGACCCCGTGAACTGCATCAACGGCCTGTGTGTGAACACTCCAGGGAGCTACCTGTGTAACTGCCCAGCTGACTTTGAGCTCAACCCCACTGGAGTGGGCTGTGTGGGTGAGTCACACGGAGCTGACAGGTTTAACAAATAATAAGCTTTTAATGAAGAACTCCATGTTGTCCTCCATGAGTGATACAGTGTGGGACAAGAGATGAATGAATGAATGAATGAATGAATAAGAAATATAGAATAGACAAGTCTTTCATACTTTTAACTGTAAGAGGTGGGTATTCACTTATAGTGCCACCATGAGGCCAATGAATATAATTTTAGTACATTTTGGTTAGTTTGATATTTCGTCCCTATGCCATTAACAGTGTGACCGTCCAATATAAATGAATAAAATGAGTACAATACATCAGTATGTTTTTTTAACATGAGAGCATAGTGAGGAGATGCAATGGTAGCATCCAAATGTATATCTAAAAAATATTTAGTAGGAGCAAGCCAAACAGTTGTTCATTTCATTTTTGCACTCACAACATCCTGTTACATTAAAGCGTCTTTATACAAGTGAATATGTATCTTTCCCAGACACCCGTGTTGGCAACTGCTTCCTGGATGTCCTTGCACGTGGTGATGGAGGAATCTCCTGCAGTGCCGAGATTGGAGTCGGAGTGACCCGAGCGTCCTGTTGCTGCTCCCTGGGAGGAGCCTGGGGAAACCCCTGTGAACTGTGCCCCGCCCCCAACTCCAGTATGTACAACACGAGCTCGAACAGACAATTACTCATAACATGTACTGCAAAGTGCACATCTATATGTTACAGTTAAAATGCTCAGATGAGTTGTTACCTTTAGGTCTTAGCAACATTTATTTATTACTTTCCATGTTTACTTTTTAGTTTGTATGCCCTTGCTGCCACTATGAAATGGAAAGTCAAGCTAACCTGCTGTAATTGCTCTTTCTTGTCTGTAGCGGAGTATAAGACTCTTTGTCCCGGAGGAGAGGGATTCAGACCCAACCCCATCACTGTCATCCTGGAAGGTAAACCGCCCAGCTTTCTCTGTTTCTCTTTAGCACTGAAACACTAAACTTCAGAATTGTACTATCAATCTACCATACACTCTACCATAAAATCAATACATCCGTGACATCTATGGATCTAACCATTATTTTCTAGATATCGATGAGTGCCAGGAGCTGCCAGGTCTCTGCCAGGGTGGAAACTGTGTCAACACCTTTGGCAGTTTCCAGTGTGAGTGTCCAGCAGGCTACTATCTCAATGAGGAGACTCGCATCTGTGAGGGTAAGGACTGAAAGACAAGTCGCACTCAATAACTCCATTAGCTCAGTCAAACGGTACTGACTCAAAAATATGTTGTCACCGTCTCCTCACTTCAGTTTTTTTACATTATCCGTCGTCATATCGTTGTGTGCAGATATTGATGAGTGCACAACTCACATTGGGATCTGCGGACCTGGTACCTGCTACAACACTCTGGGCAACTACACCTGCGTGTGTCCACCTGAGTACATGCAAGTGAATGGAGGAAACAACTGCATGGGTGAGTGTGAGATACGTCTCTTGGACAATAGAAGGTTCATTCTTACAAAGGAATTACATTTCTAAAAGTTATTTTTTTGGGACTGATTCTGTCATCTGTCATTCTCGTAATACAGACATGAGGAAGAGTGTGTGCTACCGTAACTTCAATGACACATGTGAGAACGAACTGTCCTTCAACATGACCAAGAAGATGTGCTGCTGCGCTTACAATGTGGGAAAGGCCTGGAATAAGCCATGCGAGGCCTGTCCTACTCCCGCTACCTGTGAGTGTCAGACACAAAGGGACCACCGCTTCACACCGACATACACTAACACAACTGTTTATACACTGTATGAATACTTTTTCTTCCACTCACTACGTCTCTTCTGTCCTGACTGTTTCAGCTGAGTACCAGTTACTGTGTGGTAACCAGGCTCCTGGCTTCATCATTGACATCCACACTGGCAAGCCGATTGGTAAGGTCATGACAAGGTCAACACTGGCACTCAGGCAGAGTACCTTCACATGCTCAAACCAAGTTGTGCACATTAAGCGGCGTGAATTATTTTTAATAACGTTCTTCGATTGTGGTTGTTGTTGTGCAGACATTGATGAGTGTAGGGAGATCCCGGGTATCTGTGCCAATGGAGTGTGTATAAACCAGATCGGGAGCTTCCGCTGTGAATGTCCCATGGGCTTCAGCTACAACAACATACTGCTCATATGTGAAGGTAAAACTCACCTTCTCCTCTCCCTCACGCTTCCTTTTCACTTCCTTGTGTCTCCTGTAACAAGGGAACATTAACTACCTCCTGAGCTGAAATGTCATTTTTATCCACACAGAGTTAGCATGAGATAACGTGTGCATGGTGATGTTTCACAGAGTTCCTGCTCTTTTTTGGGTTTTTTTCTGTTTCCTGTGTCTCACTCTCTACCTACACACAAATACGTACACGCACACACCCACACCTCGTACACCTGTCTTAGTGGGAATTCGTCACTGACCCTTACCCTAACTTAAACCAACCTGATTCTAACTCTAACCCTAACCCCCAAACCAAGTCTTAACATCTAAACTTGTGGAATCCAGCATTTTGGTCCCTGCAAAGCTGTCAGTCCCCACAAGTATAGTGGGATCCTGGTTTTCAGACCCCATGAATAAAAGCTCACACACTTTTACCCCACCACACAGTGTCTCATCTTTTGACCCTGTTGCTGAATCACTGCTTGCTAATGTGTCACTTATATACTACACAGTATATACTTGCTGCTGGCACACACACACACACACACACACACACACACACACACACACACATAAATACAAATACACTCACTCACTGGCCAAGAGGCACTTTTACAAGCAGTCCACTCAGCAGAGGTACTGCTGCCTCTTCCCACATGAATTATGCCCTTGTAAAGACAAGTGTAGTGGCTCTGAACGGGAACACCTGCCAGGACCTTCAGTCATCCAGAACCTGCCAGCGACTGTCTGATCTGTACCAGAGCCAAAATGGCGCTGTGGTGTTTTTTCTCCTGCTGTCCACAAGCTGACAGTCTGCTCTGACCAGACAGTTATAGATCCTGTGATTGATGTCCACTGTTTCTCTCTTTCTCCCTCCCTCCATAGATATTGATGAGTGTAACAGTGGGGACAACCTGTGCCAACGTAACGCCAACTGTATCAATATTCCCGGCAGCTACCGCTGCGAGTGCTCGCCAGGCTTCAAACTGTCTCCCAGCGGGGCCTGTTTGGGTGAGTGCAGCCTGGTCTGACAGGCCTTACAGAGGTTTCCCATCCTAAGATACCGAGGAGGAGGACAGATAGACTGATTGTGTAGGTTTGTGAGGAAGGTGTGACAGGGGCATCTCTTGTTCAGAGAAAATTATTAGCATTTGCATTTACGCAACAGTGGGAAAGCGGCTGAGATAGGTAAGTTCATATTGGCTGTTTACTTAACTCTAGTTTATGAATTGAGTGTATATAAAGTGGGATTGATGTAATGTGTATAATATTAGTGCTGAAAGTATTAGTTGTGTGACAGGAAATCCTTAACAATATGAAAACCAAATCAGTATTTAAGTCCTGTTTTGTGTGATTGTAAATTAAACATCATTGTGTTTCAGACTGATTGTCAGACAAAAACTCATTTGAACCTTTGATCAGCATTGTTTCTGACATTTTAAACACTAAGCAGTGAAATGAAAAATAAATCAGCAGTTTAATAGATAAATAATTGTTAATTGCAACCCTTTACAATATGTTAATCTACTTTCCATTTCTTTTCCTTTCTCTCAGACCGTAATGAATGCCAGGAGATTCCAAATGTGTGCAGCCATGGAGAGTGTATTGACACACAGGGCAGTTATCGTTGCATTTGCCACAATGGTTTCAAAGCTACTGCTGACCTGACCATGTGCATGGGTGAGAAGGACACTGTAAAACTATAGTTATACACAAAACACTTTGTTTCATGTAATCCTGCAGACTGTATCAAGAGTCACCACATAATAAACACATTTTTTACATGTGCCATTATGTTTTCTAGCACTGTACTTAACCTTTTTTGATTCTAAATTTTGTTCTCTGTGTTTAATTTAGACGTCGATGAGTGTGACCGACAGCCGTGCGGCAACGGAACCTGCAAAAATACAGTAGGATCCTACAACTGTCTCTGCTTCCCCGGGTTCGAACTCACACACAACAACGACTGCATGGGTATGGATCATTTACTGCTCTCTCTAAAGATCAACAGCATCTAGTGCTTTCCTTTAAAGACAAGTGTTTACCTGTCATGTCTTTTTCATATATATTTTTTTGTAGCATTACATTTGGACAGACATGAAATGAAATTCATAAAAGTCATAAAAGTCGACTGTTTTGACTTTTCTTTGGCTTTCTATGGAAATGTATCACAGTACATTTAAAATTATATCTTTGAACTCTGGTGGTGTAACACAAGCCAGCTTTGATGATGCCAGGAAAATCATGGATTTTTCCCTGTTGTTGATGTGGTTGTTTATGGGTATCCAAAATCAGAGGAATGCCTTGAGAGTCCTAATCCTCTCAATGTTCATGTTCTTACAGACATAGATGAGTGCAGTGCCCTCCAGGGCCAAGTGTGCAGGAACGGACAGTGTATCAATGGACTTGGTTCCTTCCAGTGTTTCTGCCACGAGGGTTATGAGAATACTCCAGATGGGAAGAACTGTGCCGGTAAGTCAGCAGTTTTAATGTGAAAAGTGTAGCACTGTAAGTGCAGGGTGGGGGTATATATAGACAATGCAATAGAGTTTGTCCGACATATACAAACATGCATTTTCTGATTCCTATATTGTCCTGTTTTTCACAGATATCAACGAGTGTGTGAGTCTGCCCGGCACTTGCTCTCCAGGAACGTGTCAGAATCTGGATGGATCCTTCAGATGTATCTGCCCTCCTGGATATGAGGTGCAAAATGACCAGTGTATAGGTAAGGCACACACACACACACACACACACACACACACACACACACACACACACACCTACAGGGACAGACACACTTAAATACAAGTTAAATACTCACACATACTCAAAGCAGCCTGTTCAAATAGCCAGAGGCTGATAAGCACCTGTACTTAAACATCAGGGAGTCAGAGACATTAGTGATCAGGCCATCTGCTCCAACACACACACACACACACACACACACACACACACTCACACACTCAAGAAGCAGCATACACCACTATTCTCATCTCCCCTCCTCCTCCTCGCCATCCCCCTTTTTCTTCTCCTTTCCCAGATATCAACGAGTGTGAGGAGACCAACATCTGCCAGTTTGGCACCTGCACCAACACCCCAGGCAGCTTCCAGTGCTCATGCCAGCCGGGCTTCGTTCTCTCTGACAACAAACGGCGCTGCTACGGTGAGACAAGCTGTTAGTCAACATTAGGGCACAGCGGACGGTGTTGAAGAATAAATAGGCAACTGTCTGTTCATAGAAAAAAAAAAAAAACAGAATCCTGGATTTACTGGAATTTTTTTTTCTCTTTTGGCAGATACCAGAGAGAGCTTCTGTTTCACCAAGTTCGACGCAGGGAAATGCTCCGTCCCCAAAGCCTTCAACACCACCAAGGCCAAGTGCTGCTGCAGCAAGATGCCTGGAGAGGGCTGGGGACTCCCCTGTGAGCTGTGCCCACGAGAGAGCGATGGTGTGTGACACAGACACACACATGTTGTAATGAAGTCATATATGTACACACTATGATATCTGTAGAGTATATAAAGCTGACCTTCTTTTTGTTTTTTGGTGTTTCCAGCTGCTTTTAACACTCTGTGTCCTTTCGGCCACGGAGCCCTGCCTGGACTGAGTGACGCTCGTGAAGGTGCGTGCTGCAACACTGATCGAATCCCTTGAATCTAAAGGAGGTCTTGTACAAATTTCTTTTTTTTTTTCTTTTTTTTTTTTTAAATATGCTAATCTGCTCTTGCTCTCTCTAGATATGAATGAGTGTCTGGATAACCCGGGCATCTGCCAGAATGGTATTTGCATCAACACAGATGGTTCGTTCCGATGTGAATGCCCCTTCGGATACAACCTGGATTACACTGGAGTCAACTGCATTGGTGAGATGCTCTTCGCATGCTTTTCAAATAATTCATGCTCTGCCACCAACTGATAACATAACAGTTTTAGTAATCCTTGATTCACATAAGAAGAATCAAGTGTTTTGAGTATTCATCATGAAACAGCAGCAGGTGAACAGAAAAAGAAAAATCGATGGCCACAGGACTTCTTTTTATGAACTACAATCTCGAGGAGCTTTATTGCTGTGCCGCAGCCTTTATCACCAAAATCAATATTAGCAGCCACGTCTGATGTTATTTTCCTAGCGCCCGAGTTCGGCTTTTTCCTGCTTTACAGCCTGATCTCATTTAAGCTGCTCGTGACTGCTTTTAAAATCTATGGTACAATATAAATGTGTCATTTCTTTTTGATTGCCTCCTCTATCTACCCCTGCTCTCCGTCTCCTCCAGACACTGATGAGTGCTCCATCGGAAACCCATGTGGAAATGGAACCTGCACCAACGTGGTGGGAGGTTTCGAGTGTTCATGCCAGGAAGGCTTCGAACCCGGACCCATGATGACTTGTGAAGGTCAGTCATCGCTCAACACATTTGCACAAGATCATTCTAAGTCATAAAATGAAATGAAACCACCCTGTCTCTCTCCCTGATTCCAGATATCAATGAGTGCTCCCAGAATCCCCTGCTTTGTGCCTTCCGTTGTGTCAACACCTTCGGCTCCTACGAGTGCATGTGTCCCGCTGGCTATGTGCTGCGAGACGACCAACGCATGTGCAGAGGTGAGAGGACACAGAGAGATTTCTTGTGTCACGTTTATCTGCTGGACTCCTCTTGCTTTTCTGTGTTGTAGTAATTCACAACACTGAAACAGGATTGATCAGTTTTCATTTTAGCTGGCTGTTGTAGTCATACCTATTGGCCATCTCTCACTGTCCCCCACCAGACCAGGACGAGTGTTCGGAGGGTCTTGATGACTGTGACTCCAAGGGCATGACCTGTAAAAACCTAATCGGTACCTTCATGTGTATCTGCCCTCCCGGCATGCAGCGCCGACCAGACGGAGAGGGATGTATGGGTGAGTGAAAAACGCTTCAGCCAAAGTTAGAGGTTTACATCAGTCCTCGCAGAGTAGCTGCTGTCCTGTTTTTCCTGCTCTTCACTCTCTTCATCCTCCCATCCTTTGCTCTGTGTGCTGGCAGACCTGAACGAGTGTCGCGCCAAGCCTGGCATCTGTAAGAATGGGCGCTGTGTCAACACGGTGGGAAGTTACCGCTGCGAGTGCAACGACGGCTTTGAGCCGAGCTCCACTGGAACTGAATGTATTGGTAAGATCGCTACTGCTGGAGAACATGTTGTCAGACTGTGGGGGTGAAGAAGCCATAACTGAAGCTGTGCTCACACTCTTCTTTGAAATTCAGCTGAAGAACTGTAGACAGTTGCTCCCTCACTGACCGAAAGTTTCATCTCAATTGGTTTATTTTGTTTTTTGAAATAGATGAATAATCTGTCTGTCTTTCCTCCATTTCTTCAGACAACCGAAAGGGCTTCTGTTACAGTGAGGTTTTGCAGACCATGTGCCAGCAGTCGTCCACCAACAGGAACAGTGTGACCAAGTCTGAGTGCTGCTGTAACACGGGCCGAGGCTGGGGGTCACAGTGTGAGCTCTGCCCACTGCCTGGCACCGTTCAGTACAAGAAGATGTGCCCGCTCGGACCCGGCTACACCACCGACGGAAGAGGTGAGGATAAACTATAACACCAAGTGATAATATAGTTTTAGTGAAACGTACGTTTTATTTCTCATGTTTTTGCTTATTCCATTTTTTTTTATTATTTAATTTAACCACAATAATCTTATAAATTAGTTCAACTAACTAGATAGGTAGAATTAAATTTTGCATTTGGGATCTACACCTAGTGAGTTGAGGTATAACATGTGAAACGCAGCTACAGAAAGAAAGCAGACACACTGTGAGTATCTGTCTGATCTGGATCGCTTTCTAAAATGTTTCTGTTTCCTCCAGACATCAACGAGTGCCAGGTGATGCCAGATCTGTGCCGAAATGGTCAGTGCATCAACACCATTGGATCCTTCCGCTGCCACTGTAATGTGGGATACAAAACTGACTTCACCGCAACCTCCTGCGTTGGTATGAGCTCTGATCTGTATCCTGTCCCTCCCTCTCGCTTGTTTTCACTCATTTTGGTTTTAAAAGGTTTTTGATTTTACAGATACGGATAATATTGCCACGGAATTTCTACATTTCATTGATAACGCTGGTATGAGTTTACGAAAATTTTTCATTTTCTTGTCTGCGTTTTTCAGATATGGATGAGTGCGCTCTGTCTCCGAAGCCCTGTAACTTCCTGTGTAAAAACACTGAGGGCAGCTACCTGTGCTCCTGCCCCAGAGGATACAGCTTACAGCCTGATGGAAAGACCTGCAAAGGTATTAATTTAATTTACAGTATTTGTTCATGAGTTAAAACATTGATTTGCTATCCATGGGTAAATAACTCCATAAACATTATGAGATATTATTTAATGATCTTTTTTTATAGTCAGCTATTGTAGTAATCGTGTTGCTTTCAACACACCAGGGGTCTGGGTTCTGTTTATTGCTTCACTATATTGATAATTGCTCTAATATCATCTTTACAAGCTCAACGGCTTGGAGGCTTCATCTCTCTAATGTAATTTCGGTTTTCGTGCTTCTTTCCCTCCAAGATCTGGACGAGTGTTCAACCAAGCAGCATAACTGCCAGTTCCTCTGTGTCAACACTATTGGCGGCTTTACTTGCAAGTGTCCTCCCGGCTTCACCCAGCACCAGACCGCCTGCATCGGTGAGTCCACAACAGGAGACGATCAGTGTCACTCTACCCCCAAAAAGAAGTTTGTATTAAGGTCTTAAGTCTTGTCTTTTTCTGTTTGCAGACAACAACGAGTGTACGGGTCAGAACAGCGCGTGCGGTTCAAGGGCCTCTTGTGTCAACACGCCCGGCAGCTTCAACTGTGAATGCTCGAAAGGTTTCTCCTTGGACACCACAGGCATCGAGTGCGAGGGTGAGCAGATCCAATAACCCTTATATTTGGTCGGATATAGTTCAGAGAGTTCTGCTGAGGTGTTTGTGACCGAGGAAGGGGACGGGAGGCTAGGTGTCACTGCTGATAATGAGAAATTATTATAATAAGTTTTTATTTTACTTCCCCTCAGACGTGGATGAATGCAGCAGCAACCACCGCTGTCAGCACGGCTGTCAGAACATGCTGGGAGGTTACCGCTGTGGCTGTCCTCAGGGCTACGTGCAGCACTACCAGTGGAACCAGTGTGTGGGTGAGTTGCTCTGACTCTTGAGTCTGTGACTTTGTTGTCATGACAGTAATGAACAAGTCTTACTATGAGACTGCAACTACATGTTTGTCTGTAGTGTAATTGAATGTACAATGCCCTGGTGTGAAATGTGGTAGAAATTAAAAAATGAACAACTCTCTGATCAAGTTTCTTATTAAACCATTAATTGACTCATCAAATTCCCTGTTACTTTGAAATATATAATTATCATAGGCCCATATTTTATCAAATTGTATACCTGAGTCGTACTAAAAAAAAAAGAGAATATGTCAGGATAATCATATCATATTAATATATAACAGTCCTATTAGAGCATCTGCTGTTCACCTGGCTTAAAGGCTCTGCTTCATGCTGGATGGATAATAACAAATGGTACAAAAAACAAGATTTTTTGCTTAATCTCTCTCAATATAAAGGCATTATATAGACGGTGCAGTGGAATTTCATCTTTCTACCAACACACCAAATAGCATAAAGCAATTGTGTGTATCATCATATGTCTGCTATATGTGACAGTATTGCTTCATGAGAAATATTGTTAAACACATACTCACCTTATCGTCCGTCTCTTAACTTTTTCTTCTCTTCTTTCCTGAAGATGAAAACGAGTGTCAGGCAGGAACGGTGTGTGGCTCTGCCTCCTGCTACAACACACTGGGCAGCTTCAAGTGTGTGTGTCCCTCTGGCTTTGACTTTGAGCAGGGCGCTGGCGGCTGCCAAGATGTGAATGAATGTTCCACAGGCACCAATCCATGTATCTACGGCTGCTCCAATACCGATGGAGGCTACCTGTGTGGCTGTCCTGGAGGTTTCTACAGAGCTGGACAGGGGTGAGGGAATTAAACAGTGGTGTCACGAGAGTTTTTTTTGGACTAATTCCTGGTTGCAACATCTTACCACAAGAAAACATTTCACCCCGTTTCATGTCATTGAATTTGACGTGAAGTTCACTCTTCATACTCAGCACACTGACCTCTGTTACTCTGTGTCTGTCTCCATCCAGTCACTGTATGACAGGCTCGGGTTTCCCAGGCCAGTTTGCGGAGGGTGAGGACGATGACAGTCTGTCTCCTGAGGCCTGCTACGAGTGTAAGATCAACGGAGGAGGAAAGAGTGGACGACACAGACGCAACACTGATGGAAATGAGCTAAACCGGGTACGTGTGTTCACAAACTTCTTCTTCTTCTACTTTTGGTCATAGTTTCTGTCTGTTTCAGATTTGCTAAACAATTCAGTGAACTCCTCTGGCCCTGTCATCACTATAGGAGCCAGCAGTGAGCATGGCCAGCATGGACACCCAGGCCTCCATCCCCATGAACATCTCCCTGGCTTCACTGCTCAACAAGGAGCCTCTACTAGAGCTCCTTCCCGCCCTGCAGCCCCTGGAGCACCACGTACGCTACGTCATCACCCACGGCAACGCTAATGAACACTTCCGCCTGCTGGAACGCCGCGACGGAAAGAGCGTGCTCCGACTCGGCAAGAGGCCGCCTCCTGCAGGATCCTACCGGCTGGAGATCGCCAGCCTGCGGCTGTTTGGGCCCCGGAGACTATCCCAGCTGGAGGAGCAGCATGACAGTGACTACCTACAAGGGGAAATAGGAGACGCCCTGCGCATCAAGCTCCACATCCACCTGCACTGAGCTCAGAGTGATCTCGTAATCCTGCCCTGGACTGATTCCTAAAGCCTTTGAGTTTTAACCTGCCCTTTTATCCAATAACTCCTCTTCCCAGCTGCCCCCTGCAGGAACATCCCCACCAGCAGGGGGTAATCAATCAAGGGCTTTGAAAGACTGAGTCAATCAGCCCAACTCTACCACCACTTTGTTACTGTTCATGTTATTATATGTTCATGTTTTGTGTTTTTTTTTTTTTTTCCTTTTTTTTTTTTTACCCTGACTACACTTCCTTTTGCGCCCCTCCACTCCTACCCGACCTAGCACTCATTCTCCACTGAGAGATCCAGTGGAGGCGATGGCAGAGAGGTGTCCTGGTGCTTGGACCACAGCACCTTATACAGACAAAATAGCAGACAGATGGCCCACAAGTCCATGAAGCACTTTGGTAAACAAGCAAGTTTTTATCAGAAATGAAGTGCTGAGAGTGGCCAAAATTATCTTAACGCAGCATTTATGGTGGTATTTAAATCACTGTGTATTATAAAGAAGTTATATTAAGACTAGAGATCAGAGGTCAGGTGCCGTCATGGTGGTCCAAGGACTCGCTCACCTCTCTGTGATCTCGCTAAAAAAAAAAAAAAAAAATCACAACACTGGGGAACAAGGTTTGTCAAGTCGGCCCCTCTCAGTATTGTAGTGTGTCATTTAATGTATTTGTGCTGTTTGAAAAATGTTAACACGAAGGACTGCAACATTTACACAGCATTTCAGGTTCTTAAGTCCATAGCGGTCTGTTTTATAGCTGGATGCCAACCAATTTTCACATGAGAAAAACAAGCAAGCTTTGTTCTGCTCTGATGTGACCGACTTTTGTCCCGCCTGCGGGCAGCGGCAAGCAGGGATCAGCATGTTTGCGTGCGTGTGCTGTCATGTTTGGTTACCTCAGTACTGGACACCATGCTGTGATGCCAACTTCAAAACTAAAGAGGGTGCTAGTGTCCCTCAGCATCCATCATGAGCAGGGAATACACCAGTTAGTAGCTTGTAGACTTAAAAGACGATAGATCAGGTCACGTTTGTATTTATCCTTTAAGGGATTAAGACTTCAGGTGCACTGATTCTGGACCTGAAAGCCAGATTTCCAAAGTCCAAAGTCTCTTTCGCTCGTCAGCTGTCAGAGACTTGTAGCATCTCCTGGTTCTGCGTTTTTACTAAAAACTCCTGAACATCAATGCAGAGCTGCGGCCGACAGCCGGCGTTGGGAGGCTGAACTTGACAATAAGCTGACTTTATCTGACTTCCTTGACCTTACCGTGAGCTCGATGTCTGAGGTCTGAGCCTCGTCTGCAACACAAAGAGACACACAGCTGAATACACTAACAGTCTCAAAGGTACATGACATGTTAACATTACATAAGCTGTAACTAAAGGTAGTGCTTTACAGTGTAAGTGCACACACAAGTGAACATGAAACTTCACGGAAAAAACAAAACAAATATCTGTCAGGTCTGTCATCTTTCATTTCTCATGATTTTTTTTTCTCTCAAAGAGAAAAAAGGTGCTAGATAATACCATCTCTTACGCTGTACAAAGAAAGTGCAGTCTTGAATCTGGATTGCAAAAAGTGACCTTTTTTTTTTTTTGCTAGGTTTTATTGTTGTGTTTGTTTGTCGTTTGTATTGTCTTGGTGCTGAAAAACCAATATTATCAAACTTGCTTCTTGAAAATTAAATTGTATATTTTTAAGTGAAATGTAGATTTTTTTTTTTTTTTTTTTTTTTTTTTTAAAGCGTCAAGGCTGCCGAAACAAATACTCACAGTAAACCCAAGACTGAAGGCCTTTAGTGCTGTTGACTTTGTTTTGTTGAGAAAAAAAAAAGAAAAGAAAATGCAGCATCTTCTTTGTTGATAACTGACGATGATGTCAGACTTTGAGATCATCGACATTCCCATCGTCTATTATCATACAAGCTTACACTGTCTGTACCATGCAATGATCAATTCAAACAAAACCATCTCCAGATACGACCTATGGTGCTTAAGGATAATCTTTTTCTCTTAACAGTCAAGGTTGCTGCACTGACCCACAGCCTAGGCAATGTTTATAACACATAACCATTTTTCTAACCTGGGAGCCTTTGTATACTTTGTATCTTTATTGTCAGTTTGTAATTTTTCTTTTATTTGCCACTATGTTTAAAAAAAAAAGAAAAAAAGAAGGCATTGTGTTGCATCTGCTTACTGTATCTCAGCTTCGGTGTCAAACTTGAAACAATATACTGTCATCATCTGCTTGCATTGAAATATCATTTGCTTTATAACTCAGAAAACAAGGAGTCTGATGTTTCGGTAGGTCAAATGTTCAGCACAAGCCTGAAGCCTGTTTATACTGAAGTCTAACTGAAAGCTGAAATGACAATCACCCACTCACACCACATCTGTTTGTTGAGGATCAATAAATCAATCAGCTATTATGGAATATTTTTTAATATCCTGAATGATCATCTTTGTGCAAGACAAAAACCAAAGATTTGTGACACCAAATGGCAATCTGTAAAATTAAAGTGATTCATATCATATTGTAAACTTTTTGTCCAGTGACATAAATGGCAATAAAGTATTGTGGGTTATATTTTTAAGTCTTGTGCGCCAGAGTTTTTCTTTCCTCTCAGTGCTCATGGCTTACAAACGTGACACACGATGACAAGTAAGTAGTAATCGTTTTTATTTAATTTCCAACATGAACAATGTGGACCTTCCACACAGTCCAGCTCTCAGTGGAAATTAGAGAAGAGTAATTGAAGAAGAAAATCTTTTTATTGTCACTGATTCAACGCAGTGTATCAAAAACAAAGCAGATAGTCAGAAAAATATGTAATTATAAAACACAAAAAAAGCAAAGCTACCTGCTTTGCTTCCTTCTAAGAGGTGGCTGCATGACTACCTCAAAAATCTACGGTCTAACTAGTCAATACAGTAAGAGGAAAAGGACAGAAAGATAGCAAAAAGGAGACTCCCAAACTCGAGTCAAGAATAGAAAAATAAAGCCTTTTTTTGCCTAAAGGTTGCTGTTTGCTTCATCACCACACTTGGCAGGCTGACTAAAGCAAAGGACAAATTCTACTTGCGGTAATAAGAGATTATACAGTTTCAATATGGCTTCTCAGTTATAGACACAGTAACACACAAAACATACACGGACAGATACACGGAAGATTTTATGGAGACATAAACTACCTGCTCTGGCCTTAAAAAGCATCTGGAACTGCAGTGCTGCCTCGAGGATCAGTGTCCCAAATCAAAACAAATGTGAGGATTTGTGCGACGTGATCAGCAATTAACATAAAGATGCTTTGTAATGGACCTTGGTTCATTAAAGGGGCATCTGCTTAAGTGTAAACTCCTTCATTTAAGTTCTGCCTGTGTCCTGCGTGTTGAGAGTTCTCATCAAAAATGTGGCTTTGAGGTTCTAAACTACGTTGTGATCTGACAAGCGGTGGGATTTGGAAAAACCTAGCCCTAAAGTGAGGTTGTGAAGTGGCGGCATGTTAGCCTTGTACATTAGGTCAGGTTAAGGCAGCTGTGCAGCTCATTATTTCTGTTTTCTTCACGGTCAAACATCCGAGTTTGGGTGAGTGAGTGTTTGGCTTGCAGGGTGTGGCTCTTGATGAACCAGACTTGTTATACTGCATATTTACAGTTCTGTGATATAAACCAGGCATCTTCCAACATCAGGTAAACCTCCCTCTAAGAGTGCATTCACAATCATTTGCATTGTTACTGTCCATCTACACTTCTAAATTAGACTACGCCGTACAGGATCATGTCTGTGTACAATGAAATATTCCCTCTTCCACACCCTGTTGACACATCACCCTACACCAGTGCATAATCAAACTGACCCCTCTCCAGCCCCTCCTTGTGGTCAGTCCAGGATGATGCAGGCATGCGGCTGTAGGGGTCCAGCAGGATCCTGAAGCACCTGACCAGCAGGAAGACCAGGAATAGCATGAGGAGGCCTACGAAGGCCAAGGCGGTGCGTTGCTCAGTATCCACCCCGACCAAGGCCAGAGGGGGGCTGCTGCTGCCGCCACCAGGACTGCCGGGGAGGGAGGAGCTGGCCGGGGACAGCAGCAACTCGTAGTCAAGTGTGGGCACATCGTTCATCCTCCACGGGGCCCGAAGGCAGGGCTTGCACACTGACTGGATAGTTGGTGTGTTGGGAGGAGGTGCAGAGAAGGAAGGGAAGGTGTTCATGAGGGGCGGCGCAGACACAGAGGCCAAACTGGAGACTGGGAGTTTGATTTTGAGGCTAAATAAAAAGGAAGTTTACCAGTTTTGTATTATAGACTCTGTTAGTTGGGTTAAGAAGTTAGGTAGCCTAAGTTAGCAGGTAGTTAAGAAGCAAGAGGACCGCAGACAGCAGGACTTGCACACACGTTTTCCTCCGGTGGCCAGTTTATTTTGTCAAATCTAGGTCAGTCAAAGTGGCATGACCCAGACGGGCCTGATCCTAATCTGCTCTGACAATGTGACAGACACACACACGCACACACACACGCACACACACACACGTACACACACATGCACACAGAGGCACTTCTCAATTAATACAATACGGACTACTTTTTAGTGTCACACATTTTGAAGAACTGACTAAACTGTCTAATGAAGCTCTATGGTTTGAGTTTGAGTGGCCGACCCTCAGGCAGAAATTTTTTTTTTTAAGTATTTATCAGGGCCACTCTGCCACATCGGCTCTCATTCTCACTCTCAATCAGAGCAGACAGGATGTGACACTGCCTCTTAATAATGAAAACACACGTGTCTGATCACAGTCAAGGTCAGTTCTTGATTGGTGTTTAATGTTGTGCAGATGGACTTCTAACACCCAGTTGTGTATAGCTGTTTAAGTGCGTGTCTGGGTGTTGTGTCACTGAAATAAGAGCCAGACACAAGTGTTATAAACACCAGATTATCTGAAGCATCTGCAGACGCCAGCGACCCCAGGTGTTGGTCCGTGTGCGCACATGTGTGGGTGTTTGTGTGTGGCTAATTAGATCAGGAGGTTAGTGGATCGATGGCCCTGAATATAAAACGGTGCATCACCTCTTCTGATGCTGCCTGCTAAATGCAAAGGTAGTTGGAGCGTGATAAGTGGGTCAGAGCTGTCAGGTGCTGAAATAAGTTTCTTTCACTGTCTCCCTTTGGGATGATCTCTTCAAAAACCGCCTCTCTTGACAAGAAGAGAACCAACAAGAGGTAGAAAATGAGTTAGAATCTTCTGAGGAGGTGAGCTTGTGTTGGTGAAGTCGTCAGTCGAAAAAGAAAAGTGGCTTCATCCAGTTCGATCTTCAGTCTACTGAACGCAGAATGTGTTTAGGGCAGCCCTTCCAACTGTGTGCCCGACATGACGGAGGGATGTTAACAGAGTTGTTGTCGCCAGATGTTGCTGGTTAAGCCGAAGAATCACTGCAGCTCCTTAAAAATCACCATCTGCAAGCATAAGAGCCACCTGGTTAGAAAAGAATTGAGATAACTGTCCAAAAATCTCACTAATGACTAACTAATGAAGCTCTAATGAGGACATTTACTTTGTGCCATATAACATCAGTGCACAGTCAAATCCCTCAAATAAAACTACAGGCATTGCACAACTTTTCCATTATTGTTTCTACCATGAGAAGAAGATTAAGTCATTCCTCCCTCGTTTCATCATATGATGTGATTATTAGGACCCTCTGCTCAATAAGTAATAGTGACAGTGACATTAGCCGTCTGTGGTGAGAACACAGCACCAGCATCCCCTGTAATGACACTCAATTAGCAAGCCGATTATGGTGTCATTACTGCCACATTAGCAATAATGAATGCGTGATTATAAACACAGATACCGCAATACATCACCCTCATTTGTCAGTGCACTGTTACAGTAGGCCATTTGTTCACTAGTTGACCCCCCCTTCATTCATTTGTTCACATGATGGACAGAAAGACAAAGTGTTGTGGAGGTTCATTAATAATCTAAAATCACATCTCGTGTAGCGGATCAGGTTTCAAATCATTGAGGAAATGCGATATGCAAACCATTTTTACCTGCTCATCCATCTGAATAGAGTGGTGACGGGGCTATTTGCTTAGACAAACGTGATACGCAGAGATATGGAGAGCACTGTGTGTGTGTGTGTGTGTGTGTGTGTGTGTGTGTGTGTGTGTGTGTGTGTGTAGAGATGCTGAGGAGACACAAAGGTGAGTGGACACAGAGGGAGAGAGAGAGGGGGAAGAGACATTAATAGTAAGTGCTTTTAAATTTTGTTAATTTATTAAAGAGGGTTGATGAAGAGAGGCGCAGAGAAGGTAGATTTGAATTTATAACACATTAGTTATTGTCTTTAAGACAAGAAAACATTATGGATAAAAAGAAAGACAAGTGACTCAATATATCGAAATAAAAATAGGAACAGGATGGACAGAGAGCATGAAGGTTGATCGAGGAGGTAAAGATGGATGAATAGAGCAGAAGTTCCTGTGGTGGACGGGCAGCAGTACAGAGGAGAGAGGAGAGGTTTGCTGGCACAAAGTGGACTGACTCTCCTCTGCATGACCATGGCAAAATGCCTTTTCCATACACTCTCTGTCTCTCTCTCTCTGTCTCATTCAGTTCAAAGGTTTTCTATCTGCTACTTCATCAGCCAGTGTCTCCAGGGTGTGTGGTGCACCAGACTCAGGCTGGCGGCAGGATGACACACCTGGGAGTTGGCACTCACACTGTGAATGAATGTGCACTTTTGTGTGTGTACAAACAGACCTGCTGTGTGCGTGTGCGTGCGTGTGTGTGTGTGTGTGTGTGTGTGTGTGTGTGTGTGTGAGACTGCCTCTGAGTGATGTGAGTTGCAAAACTCAAAAATAGGTCAGAAAACCTTGAAACTGTTTTCAAGGACACTATTACAACTGACACTGTCACACAGCTGCAGCTCCGGGTCAGAAATGCTTTCAAACTTCAAAAATCAACTGCTGTGAGACTTTTTTTATGTTGATAGTTTTGAAATCAAACTTGTAACCACTTTTTTTGGCTTATTAGGGGTAATGTTGTTCATCAGTTACTCTATAACTCTTCTTTTATGTTCTTACTTGCCAACAGTAATCTTTGCATCTATATAATATGACAGATTGTATTGTGGGATTGCTAGCAGAAAGCAATACATGCCATGGACACAGGAATTCCTATGGGCACATAAATTTCTCCGTCAGAACTCAGACAATCAAATGAGATGGCAGAGGGTAAATATAGGTATAGACCTGTCTCACAGCAGACACTTTGACCTGTCGTAGCTGGAGAAGCACATCAGGTGTCCCAATAAACCATTACACTGAGCCAGCATGCACAATAGCAGGACCCTGGAACTAGTTCACCTAAATGGAATGTGGTTATTTATAATGTTATCAATTAGAGCTGTGCTTTTCCTGCTATGACAGTTCAAAATGTCTGCTGTGAAAAGGCTTGTTTTACATGACGTCAACCAACTTAGTAAGTCAGTTAGTTTCCTTTATTATCCTTCATCACAACTAAGAATGGTTTGATTTCTACCACCCATACAGCTGCAACAAAACTAATAGCAGGGTAAGAGAACTGTCAATCAAGTTCAATTTGTGCATGGCCACATATCAGAAGAGGCAACAAGTGAATATACCTGTGTGATGAAAACTGTCAGTATGGTTTTTGATACTGTCTCTTTTTTTAATCTGTAGGTTGTGTTCCAAACTCTACCCACAACAGATGGTCACTGCACAGGGAAAACTCTACTGTAACATGTAAACACAAAGGAATCAGAGACCGGTCTAATCCTGCTGAGAGACTGTCAACTGCCCACTCTTTCTCTCTGTGTCTCACACTCTCTCTCACACACACACACACACGAGATATTCACAGACAGTTTTGACGAACCCACACACTGGAATCGTTTCCGTTTCGAATGTGGGAGGAGCAACTGAAAGGACTCCAACTCATCACTGAGAGAGAGAGAGAGAGAGAGAGAGAGAGAGAGAGAGAGAGAGAGAGAGAGAGGACGATAACTAGACTGAGGGAGAGAGGGAATGGACTTGAGGATGAGAGAGAGAAAGCATTTGTTCTTTTCGAAAATGTGCAATTCATCATATTATACAATAACAGGTATACTATTACTACAGCTGCTGTCGTATATTGATTTATCTGAGCAATGAACTGGAGCCATTAATAGCTACAAGTGTAGAAGATATTGTTCACAGAGTGGTGGATTTTACAGCAAAGATACTGTCTCTTCTGCATTCGCAACAAGCCTTGGTCAGATAGTTCAGCCATGGTTTTCCGGGGTGTGTGTGTGTGTGTTTGTGTGTGTGTGTGTGTGTGTGTGTGTGTGTGTGTCTCTCTGTGTCTGTGTCTGCGTGTGTGTGTGAATAAGTCATTGGGAGGTAGAGGGAGGACAGACAGAGATTGCTCAGCTTATTTTCCTCCTCGTTAAGTCTCACTCCCACCATCACCCTCCATCAGCCTCACACACTCACTCACATACACAACTGCACGCGCACTCATGCACACACACACACACACACACACTCTGTCGTCCATCAGCCTCGTCTTGCTCGACTCGCATTAGTTCTCGCCCACTCCATTTCTCCTCCAGCACACTTCCTCGAAGCATCGACGAGACCCCTGAGATGAGGGGAAGCAAAGCGGACACTCGTCAGTCTTCATCGAAAAGCCCTTAAATGGACACCTCACACACACACACACACACACACACACACACACACACACACTGGAGTGCACCGGTGGCAGCTCATTCACATTCAAACACACACACACACACTGGCATGAGCATACACACGCTTAGAAGTATTTCTGCATTTACTTACAGCACATATACAGCATACAGATAGAGAGATGCATTGAAACACACAACTCACGGACACAGACACACACTCTGCACCACTGTCATCACTTCCTCACAGAGCCATTGGTCAAGGTAACGTTGACAGAACTCATCAGGGTAAATGAAATGAACGGAGCTGAAAATAATATAGTTACTTCTCAGGTGACCAGGGTGTCACCTTTTCCCTCCTCTATCCACCTCCCGCTGTCTCTCACATGCACCCACGCATACACACGCATACACACGCATACATTATGATTTAGAAGCGATTGGTAAGGGTTAGGGTTGAGAAAAAAAAACCCAAAGCAGATTTAAAGATATTTCCATCATGTGACATTGTCTTTACCA